AGTTCACAAACTTATGCTGCTGAGTCTGCAGCACACAAAAAGTACAACAAAAATTATGATGGGGAAACGACCACGTCAGCGACACTTGAAAAGCTGAGAGAAGACACACAGACAACGACGAGTCTACATACCTGGATGGCTATTTTGGAGCGTACAGCAGAAGTGAGCTGGTGGATGATCTGGGCATTCAGACTACCAGTGTTGTCCATATCTCCAACCATGACTGGGAATGACTGAGGGGGACAAAACACACATTCATCAGCTTTCAAGTCATGTAGACAACATTTGAAGTCTTGTCATCTGTATTAAAAGGTTGAGTTATTGATTAATTTTCATCCATTCATCAGATTGACTATAGCCAAGAAGATTCAAACCAAAAGTTCTATACATAAACAGCATTTTAGGGATTTGTTGAACAGATGGGAAAACTATCATTACCTCTGCTGGTCCAGTCTGTTTACTGCCAACGTAGGTGGAACCGAATCGATAGCCAGAATCACCCAGGGTACTGAGGGTAATAGTATGGCTGACCTGGAAGTGGTTACTCAGGCCCTTGTTGACCACTAACCGCACCCCTTCCATCTGCAGAGGGAACACCTCTAAAGCAGGAAAGGGGGACAAAAAGATCTTTGTAACTCAACATCAGACGATCATATGACAATAATAACACTGTTATAATAATACCAAAATTATTACTTAAAAAGGTGAACAAATGTGAGGAATAACCTGCACATCTCGCACAATTCAACAACTGATTTTCTGACCTTTACATTTGCGGTGGCACTCCTCATATGTGCCTGGGTTTGGGAGCGGGGAATCTCCATCTGCTGACTGCTGGCCAGATCCAGATGCTGGAGGGACGGAAGACACTGAGGGCATAGTGAACCCTGGAGGGACGGACACCAGCCCTGGGACCCCTTGACTACCTCCAGCTGCAGCTGGGGCAGGACTGGGGGAGGCGGCAGCCAACACACTGCCCATACTCTGAGACTGTAACAGACTGGAAGAAGAGATAGACGGGGGGGTGAATAATTTATGTGATTCATTAATTATATCAATGTAATTCAATCACACAGCTGCAGGCTGCTGACAGTTAAGGTAATCCTTGAAAAGGTGTGAGTCAAAATTGGAGGAGTGTCATTTGACCAGTGGTGGAAAGTAAAGTACATTTATTCAAGTACTGTACTTAAGTTTTTTCATTTCATGTTACCTCACACCTCCCCTCCACTACAATCTGGGAGAAAACGGTGAAGTTTTTAATCCAATACATTTGTGATAAGTTTAATTACAAAGCCATCTGAGGCAACTTGTGATTTGAGATATTGGGCTTTAAAATAAAATGTAATCAGCTGAAATTGAATAACATATTTAGATTAATAATACAAAATAGTGTTGTCATGATACTGTAATTTTTTCTTTGATACAATACCTAGCTATCCAATAGCATTTTCAAGACCAAGGAGAATATTGACATTGAGAGCATAGATTTTTATTAAAAGATAAATCAGTACCTTTATGACAAGGCTATAAAGTGACAACAATGGCCCAAACCCCAAAATGATGTCATCTAATGTCTTGTTTCATACTCACCCCAAAGGGTTTTAGTTCACCGTCATGGGAGAGTGTGTAAAGCTGCCAATATTTGAACGTAAGAAGCTGCAATAAGAGTATTTTGGGGTACTTTTATAGTAATTTTCTATGAAAAATGACTCCGATTATTTGACTACTAAAATAGTCACCGATTATTTTAATAATCGATTAGTCGACTAATCGTTGCAGCCCTAAATACCTAAATAAAACCATATCTTATCACGTTCCATTACTCCGAAATGGTCCCTTAAGAATGTGTATGTTCCCCTGTGGTACTTTAAGTATTTTGATGCTTAGACTTCTGTACTTTTAGTTATGTGCAATTTAAACGCATGACTTCTACTTTCTATTGTATATATTCAGAGTGCAGCAGCCAGTTTTAACAAATACTAAAAAGGTCCGAATACATAACTCACTGGCCCCCAGTAAAACAGAGAATCTTTTTTCAAATACTTCTTATTGTTTTTAAATGTTTTCGCTCCCTACTATGTTGCTGACATGCTCACAGAGTACACACCAGAGAGATCCCTTAGATCAGGGGCGTCAATTATACGGCCCGCTGGATGATTTTGTACAACTAATGGTGAAGCACTTGTGAAGGTTAGGAAGTACCAAGTTTCAGGAGCAAGTTAAACAGTGAGAAGCTTTTCCACCCTGACCAGTGTACAGTTCTTTTCTTTCACGTTGCACAGTGAGTAGTTGACATTAAGAAAACTAAATTTAAATTTAATTTAATTTTCTGAAGACATCATAGGCTTTTCGTCATCTGTTTTATAAATGGATGAGCGTTCTTAAAATGTACTTCTTTAAACAAGAAAATATGGGGATGTTTGTTACTTATAGGATATTATGCAATGGTTTTACTGGTCCGACCCACCTGTCATCAAATCGGACTCTATGTGGCCCGTGAACTAAAATGAATTTGATGTCCCTGCCTTAGATTATCAAATAAAGGTCTACTCATTGTACGTAAAATCAACTCTGAATCAGCTCATGGTGCTTTTAGTCATTATATAAAAGATTTGCTTATCAGGACTAAGCAAATCTTTTTTCACAAGCTTTGGATTCTTAAGTACATTTTTATTTGTTTTAGGAATTATTATTATTGTTTATCTCCCCATTTTTCGACAATAATAATGCCTTCTTATTTTGTTTGTTTTTATCATGTCCTGCTTGTTTTTATATATGTAATATTATTTTATCTTTTAAGATATTTTATGTTTGTCGTGCATGATGCATCTTAAGCACATTGAGTTTACATTTGTCCTATGAAATGTGCTTTATAGAAATAAAACTGACTTGACTTTTACTTGTGACAGAGTATTTCTACACTGTGGTACTGCTACTGTTACTTAGTTAAAAGATGTGAGTACTTTTTCCACCACGGCATGACTTGCAAGGTTTGATATAAACATATTAACACTGTACTAAGCATACAATCACCACCTCCACACAGTGTATCCAATGCACTTGGGTACAGCTAGCTTCAGAAGCGTTAGCTCACTTACTCAGCTACCATTAACTTGGCTAGCTCCAGTGGTTGATCTGTCCTACAGCAGGGTGGCTGTAGCTCAGGCCCAGTTCAGTCAGACTCATGACATATATATAACTGATTAAAAAGGAGCCTGATAACCACAAGAAATATCGAGCTGCGATTCGTGGTTTGCTACAGAGGCCACGTTTGAAGCTAAGCCGGCAAAACTATCCGCTGGCAGTATTTAACCTGTGAAGGCTAACGTAAGCTAGCAGGGTAGGCTGGTTAGCTAACTGGCTAGGTAGCCATGTGGAGTCGACCACGAGATCTCTTCTTCTTTATGTTTAAAACATGGTAACTAAGAATACGATAAATAGCGGGTTAACACTCCCAACTATCTCCTTATTATAAAAAATATTCCTGCAATTTAACGGTTTAGCTACTTACGCTGACGGTTTGGGTCCAGGGGTAGTTCAACACCGGTAAAGTTCACCACAACGTCCGTGACCGTAGTTGACCAGTGCCCGCCTATTTTCAGATACTCGTCCGCCGATTGGCTGACGTACATCTCATCTCAAACGCTATTAGCTGATTTTGCTGCTGGGACCGTCCCCTTTAAATGACGTATGAAGGGGCTTATTCGCTCAACGGTGGTTTCATTCAATCTCTGCTGAATGACATTCCAAGGGTACACCTATTTTAGGGCCCTTAGTGTATGGTTACATTTACAAACTGTATACCTACACTGCAGTAGTATGTAAATATAAATATTAAATAATAATAAGTAAATAAATAAAACCTAGGCATGCATGGGAATTTCTGTGGACATTTTTAAGAAGATAATGTCCAGGAATACACCACATGCATTTGACAAATGTTATAAACCAGAAAAAGCAGTATTAAAATTTCTGCAAAGTCTGCGGTTTCAAAGTGGGCCCCACCTTCCAAAGCAATGACTAAATAAACAATAAAAAAAATTGGTAGAGAATTTTAACTACAGCTGAAACCTGACCTCACCTTTTTTTTGTATGTGACATTCAAACTTAAAGTATCCTGCTTTCTAAAGCCTAGTTCACATTACACAATTTTTACCGCGATTTTGACGTCGCAGAGGATCTTGAGAGCCACCTTGGGTTGGAGGCGAGTCAGCAAATAGTCTGACACGACGAGTCCTCAAGTTCGAACAAGCCTACAAGCAAGTCGCCCCCTAGTCTGTGACTAGAAATGCTAGAAAACTGGACAAGTCTGACACGACAAAGAGCATCAGCTATGGATACGTCCCATGTCGGCACGCAGGAGGACGGAAGAAATGTGAGAAGGACAAGCCGCAGGGTTTTCCAGGTCCACTTATTAGCCATGACTTTGGGCTCGTTTTTTTGTAAAGTCGCTTACAAATATTGGTAGTTGCGGCTTGTGTTCTAATGTGGAGTTGCTTATTTGGGCTTGCTCTCTGTTGCTTCTTTTGGGCTTGTTTCCATAGCCCTGGTTGCTTGTTCTTCTCCCCAGATCTGGCAACACTGACAAGCCGGCAAGCAACAACAATGGCAGCGTCCACAGGATCACAGGGAGCGAATTGTGTTTGGACCCAGGCCCTGAAGGCAGATCTGATTCAACACTGGGAAGAATATCCATGCCTTTACGATGTGTCTTCTCCAAGGTGTTATCTGGGGCTCTGTCGTCAAGGGCTCGGTGGAGAAATCTTGTGGTGTGCACACAGGTCGTAACGCAGCTGGAGAGACTCCCGATGACAGAAACACACATTGCCAAGTATGAACACTCAGAAGGTTACGATAGTCTCTGCGACATAAAATCGGGGTGAAAATCGTGTAATGTGAACTAGCCTTAAGAGTACACCGACTGGCAGTGTGCGAGACTAACCGAAGCATCTTTTACAAAAGCACAAGTATAAGAAGATTAAATTAAAAACAAGCTGAAATGAGGAGTTCGTCAGTTGGACTTTTATTAAGGCGCTGGCATTGACACACATAACAGAAATTTGCTGCCTGTCTTTCTACTTGAAGCCTCTGGACATCAAGTCATAAAGATAGTAATTTCTCCAGGATACAGTGATGGGACAAAATGGTTACAAACCCACTCAGAAAATGGTCATGTATTAATTCAAATGTTGCCTGCACTGAGGCTACAAAATAGGGGAAGCCAAAATCTATCATCAACAAGGGCACTCAAGAGGCAGACGCGAAGAAGGAAAGAGGGCTCACATGTGGGTCCCCTCTCTGCTGGTGTTTTGTAGTAACATATCGGTCAAGGAAACAAGAAGAGGTCAGCTGGAAATTTCACAGTATGCTTGCTTTAAATCTGAAATACATATAGTTTGTGACATTGTGCTGAAGTCGAGAAGTCTGAGGCTGTAAGATAATCACACAGCTGGTCACACTTACAGTTTGTCATAAGCAAAATAATGAAAAGCTGAAAATCCTTTCTGGCAGTGACTGTGCTTTCAAGACCAACTGATAAGGGAAGGTTTGGGTGCCATTTTGTCTATAATACAAATGTGGGATACAGTAGGAGTCTGACGTTAGACTAAGGCACTTCAGAGGGAAGAGCAGATACAGAACCTACGTTAAAATAACTGATGAAGTTGCCTGGTTTCAATATGTTGAGTTCAGGCTCTTCCCATCCTGTCAGACCTGAGAAAATGCTGCCTGGCGCGACGACTGTAAAGGGATCAAAGAAACTTTACAGTTAAATACTGACTTGTTGTAATTACTGGATCTGTGCTGTAATAAAATGCACTACAGTGTCACTGATGTTACACTGTTGTCATGTAATGTTTTATTTCTGCAGTAAACACTTTTAAAATAAAATAAAGTCCACTATCAGCAACACGGTTTCAGGTGCTCTGTACTGGAGCACCGCAGCAGCCCAGTCAGAGCAAGTGGTCATTTTGGTTTCTGAAGCCATCTCTATCTTACTTTTGTAATTCTTTGTCTACTCTCCCAACTTTGGTTCCCTTTTGAAGGATGTTAATTTGGTTAAACTAGGGATATGTGTATTATCAGTCTTTTTTACACTGCATCACCAACTGTCACCAAGAGTTGGTGGGCAAACTGTTTTTATAACCAACCTGGGATGATGGCAAAAGCAACAAAAAACATACAACACTCAGTGGCCACATTATTAGGAACACCTGCTCATTAACAAACAGCCAATCAACCACTAAATGCGTAGAAGCATGCAGACATGGTAACACCATTGAGGTCTGACCTGACTGAATGTCAGAAGGGGGAGGAAATGTGACTGTGGAATGATAGTCAGCGTTAACCTCCTGGGGATTTTCACACAAGTCTACATGTTGACAGGCAAAACAAACAAGAGTAGCAGCTCTGAGGGGTACAAAAAGCAACTTATTCATGAGAGAGGTCAAACGAGAATGGCCGGACTGGTTCAAGGTGACAGGAAGGTGGACAAAGAAAACTGCAGTGAGACAGGCTCACCAACACTGCACAGCAGGTGGAAAAACGTTGCCTGGTCTTGCTAATCTTTAATTCTGCAGCAACTTGCAGATGGTATGGTCAAAAGTTGGTTTAACAACATGAGTCCGAGGTTTCAGGCTGGTGATGGCAGTGTAATAATAGCAGTTTTGGTTACTTAGCACAAACTGAGCATCATTTAAATGTGCCTTCTGGACTGTTGTTGCTGACCATGTCTGTGCATCCCTTTATGGCCAGTCGACCAGGGTTAGAAATTAGCAGCACCAGCCAAATGTTGGTAAAACATGCAAGTGGCTGCTAAATTTGTTTCACTCACCAGCCAAAAAATAATGATCTATTGAGCTGCTGATAGATTTTGGAATCCACCAGCCACAGTGGCAGGTGGACAACAGAAGTTACTATCCAAACCTGCCATCTTCAAATGGGTATTTATTAGCAAGACATAATGCCAGATCAGTGAACACGTCATCCCAAAAGAGACAATGAGTCTCCTCCAATGGCCTCCAGTGTCACCAGATCTCACTCCAACACAACATAAATCCACAAGAGGAACGAGCAGCTGACAAATGTGCAGCAACTGCATGAGGCTGTCATGTCAACATGAACAGGTCTGTCGAGGGAATGTTTCCAGCACCTTGTTAAATCCATGCCACTGGGGTCCAATCCAGTACCAAAACAAGAATCTAATAAAGTAGCCGCTGAGTGAAGATGTTAAAAAATGTGGGTTTCCTTTAAAGCACGTGCTCAAGACCTGTCAGCAGGATGTGCACACAGGATGTGTAGTTCATCTGCACAGTGAGGATGTGAGCTGGGCTCTATCATCCAAGTCTACCTTTGGTTTCACATTTTCATTCTTACAGCAAAGTACAAAAAAAAAACATTGTCAATGACAATGTCAAGAGTGGCAGAGTTCAATGACAGACTTAAGCATTGGCCCAAATCATGTGTACAGTGACCATCTCTGGCAGCGATAGTGGGAAGATAACAGTTTACCAACATATAGACAGACAGAACTGGAAACTGCTGTAAACTCAGACTGGAAATAAAGAGCAATCTAAAATAGACCATTCTGGTGGCAACATAGGGAGCAGTAATCATCACTTGGGATCTTGTGTGATGCGTAGTCAATATTGTGTGATGAATGCCAGGCGCCGTTTTTCTCCTGAAAAGAAAAAAAAAAAAAAACAAGACAAGTTAGAGTGTCTGCAAACAACCATATGAATGAGTCACGGCTTTAGCAAACCTGCGGAGCAGACAGCTGGCTGTGTGTGCGCTGATCAGCTCTGTGTAAATCTAAGTTGACTGCTGTTGTGCAGCCCGAGGACAACAGCCCTTAACCCTTCACCTTTAAATCCTGTAAAACTTCAGTTAATCTTCTTGATGAAAGAGGATATTACACATTAGCAAGGTTGCTGGTATTTGCTCTCTTTCAAGCTACAGTAATCACTTGTTTCTAGTGTTAATGAACCAAAATGCTCATTCATATACACACAAATCAACCTAAACCAGAATGTGGAAATGAAAAGTTTCTCCAAGATTATCTACCTAATTTAACATATTCCTTGTTTATGAATGTTAAAGTGGGTTCAAGCCAACCAGTCAATCCCTGGACTGGCAATTCATAAGCCCCCCCCCCGGCCTTCATTGGCCACAGACAAGACAGCTTTACACCTTCCACACAGGGCAGGACATCAACCCTTATTACTTTTGGTGTCAGATGGACAACTGAGAATTGCAGCTGATATATGACCTGTGTAGACCAAGCGTAAGAAGTAGGGCTATAGCAATTATCTGCAACTGCAGGGGATGGCAAGTAATCACCACAACCCGTTTTTCTTTTTGTCACACAATTTCCGCACATTTACACTATGATTTACATCTATGAGGCGCCGAGCAGTGTACGCCTGACGTTTAGTTCTAGTAGCCAAGAGTTAAAAAATATTCAACTTTGTGTAAAACACTACAGCTGCTCCTCACTGTCACTTTTTACCCAGCCATCCACTCACAGTGGTGTCGGAGCAGAGTAAATGGCTTACCGCAAAGAGCAGTGACATCGTCGAACTACGAAGAATTTCATATTCAAACGACACAGACCATCGGGTTTGCCTTCCCTTCATCCAGAGTGAGTATTCTGCCTTGTGTTGACATTTTTACCTCTGCACATATACTGTATCAAAGCAACTAGAGATGTAACCAAAGCACCTCAGCCGAAAAAATGCCTCAGTGGCCCTGTGTTCTGCATCACCAATGAACAAGCATTGTATTTGTTTTAAAAATCTCTGTCATTTAAAAAGCACCAATATACCCAATAATAGCTCAACAACAACACAGTGAAATCAGGACAAATTAATGTGCAAAAACAGTATTAAAAAAAAAAAAAAAGAAAGAAAAAAGAAAAAAGGAAAAAAAAGGTGGTAATACCGCATATTGCACTGTTGAGCCACCCTTTATCACCGCAGGGGAAATTCCTTCACCGCGACAGCTTTATTGAGAGCAGAAAAACCCCCTACTAGAACTGTTAATCAGCACCAACCTATAAAACTACTTCAGCTGGGTTCATAAGTACATTTAATCCTGAAGGGTTTCTTCAGTCTGTTTTTTGAGCTCTTGAAAGAACTTACCATTCACTCAGATCGCCCCCAGTTCATTGTTTAAGGCTCCACCTTCGTCGTCGCCGTCAGCATCTGGGTCAACAGAGTGAAACTCTGCCACATACAGGCTCTTATCAATGCTGCTGGGGATGGGCTTTATGTCAGTGACCAGCTGATCCTCAATGTTCTTCAGGTTGTAGCGGTCATCTGAAGTTATCAGATTGATCGCCAGACCCAGATGACCAAAGCGCCCTGCGAGAGGAGAGACATCATTTAGCTATTGTTTGTGGTTCGTAGTGTCATGAAAGATTTTGCAAGTTGTAACTGTAAACAAAACTGTTAAAGGTGTGAAAAATTATAAGTAGTTCATCTTACCTGATCTGCCGATGCGATGCAGGTAGGTCTCTGCATTTTTGGGGAAGTCAAAGTTGATGACCACATTGACTGCCTGGATGTCGATACCCCGAGTAAACAGGTCTACAACAAAATATGTATGTTAGTCAATCATTATTAACTTAAATTTGCACTTTACATTTTAAAATGCAAACTCTCTTCACCCACCTGTGCAGACCAGGTTTCTGCACAGTCCGTTCCTGAAGTCATGGAACACACGGTTCCTGTATTCCTGCATCATCTTCGCATGGATGTAGAAGCAGGAATAACCCAGCTGGGTGATTTTCTTGGCCAGAAGCTCAACCCTCTGGGTGGAGTTGCAGAAGATGATAGACTGGTTGATCTGAAGCTGTAACAGAAATATATAGATTTATGATTACTGATGACCGAAAGAATAACCTGCTATTCTATGCTACCTGTCTCAGGTATCTTCTGGCTACAGTTTATTCTAAGGAGGCCAAACCGCTATCTGTAAGCTGCACGCCGCTCCCTGGTTATTTGCCTGTGTATTTGTGGCTCTTGTTTTCTTATCCTGTTTTGTCTTTTTAATTTCATTTTGAATCAAATTTTATTCATGACATATGCACATCACTGTCCTAATATGAGAGCCGGTGTCTTGAATTAATAAATTAATAACAATGCACACTTCAAAGAGGACTAATCGCAAACTTTTGATCATATTTTGCAAGTTCAAGTTAGCTATAGGTATAAAATCCTCAATCATATGTAATTCTATATTGAGGTATCAATATGCACATATGCGTTGAAACTTAAAACCAGAGAGGTAGTGCTGCTTTTTTTAGCCTAGTATCGATTAACTCCCTGAAACTTTTTAGGCTCTTAATATCCAACTGATAAGGGCTAAAAACTCACCCTAGAAAAGAGTGTGTTAAGACAGTGGACCTTCTGTCTTTCCGTCACATAGGCATAGTACTGAGTGATGCCCTTCAGGGTCAGTTCCTCCATCAGATTGATCTCATAAGGCTTCCTTAGGTGCTTGCTCTGGAAAAATTATTCACAGGTATATTGTTAAACAAGATTTTAATTAATACCTTTTGTTCGGAGAAATAAAATACAGTCTGGGTTCTCACCATGAACTTTTGCACACTGATGGGGAAAGTGGCAGAGTAAAGCAGGATCTGACGATCTTTTGACATGAAGCTTATTATATCTTCGATCAGGACCACAAAGTCCTGGGACAGCAGCTTATCTGCCTGAAAAATACAAATATTAAAAAGAAAACTTAATGATAAACACGGTCAACAATACTGACATTAGGGTTAAGTAATTAAAAGACCAAACATACCTCATCCATCACAATCATTTGGGCCCTGTCCATTTTTGCCACACCCTTCTTGATCAGGTCGAGTATCCTGCCTGGTGTCGCGATCACTACATGCACTATTGGGAGGGGAGGAGACAAACAACACATCACAACAACTTCTGAGAACAGCTGCACATTTTTAACCAATGAAAAAAAATAATTAAAAGACAAAAAGGACAAGCGTGAGTTGTCCTGATCTTATGTGCCATGACCTCAGAGTGACAGGATAAAAACATTCCATGAAACACTGGTCAGTAGCGTCACAGAAAGAATTACTTATCTACAATTTTCCATTTCTTTCTATCTTGAATATTAATGGAACTACAAGTACCTATCTCATCGAGGCGCATGATGTCATCCCTCAAGTTGGTACCGCCTGTAGTCGCCATGATCTTGACCCCTCCTAGGTGCTTGCTGAGCTGAATGCTGATCTGGCTCACCTGCAGGGCCAACTCTCTCGTTGGCACCATCACTATGGCTGGATTGAGACAGAAATGGGAAGGGCTGATGAAATGCCAGGGTTGATGAGATGCATAGACACAATAAATAAAGTGGTGGTTGCAAATAGAAAATAGAAAAAAAAAACAAAATACACATGTATTCTGACCCAAAACCCTGTTAACCAACAGTAGAAATAAATACATTTGAGACAGAGTGGTGCAGTTATCATGGACTTGACCGTATCTTGTTTAATCTTGTAACTGCATTGTTTATGCCATGTGCTTTGTCTGTTGACCCGTATTTCCCCCAAAATTTAAAATATTTCCACAGTGCTGATTTATGCTAGAATAAATAATGTTATCTTCATCGTCGTTCACTTGGCTGCTTGCCATCTGCCTGCTGCTGTTAGACAGTGACAGAGAATTTTACAAAGCCGTAACCTAAAGATGATGATACTGATCGATGTTTTCACTTTGCACTGATGATATTAGATCGCTGATCACTGAATTGGTGTATCAATTCAGATCAGTGGTTCATTAAACCCCTACTTTTTTTTGGCTTTTTATGCCTTTGTTACATAGGTCAGGCCAAGCATGAAGAGAGGGCAGAGAGGAAAAGACATGCAGCAAAGGGCCGTGGGCTGGAATTGAGCCCAGAGCCGCTGCAGCAAGGACGGTGCCTTTGTACACGGGGCACCTGCTCTACCCACTGACCTAATGGGCACCCTACACCCTTACTTGTTGAGCCAGTGATACTGTTACTTATTAATGGGGTTACACGTCTGGCGACAACCATCTCAAAATATTTGTGGAAAGACTTTCATTCGTACGTCCATCACACTGTAACCGTTTCAACATAAGCACTTTCAGGAGGTGTCAACTGAAACTCACCCTGGATGTGATCTTTCTTCAGGTCTATCCTCTCCAGGAGAGGGATGAGGTAGGCTCCACTTTTTCCTGTACCATTCTTGGCCCGAGCCAAAATATCTCTTCCTGACAGAGCGATAGGGATGCTTTCCTCCTGTTGACAGACAGACAAGTCCCGTCAGTACAATGGGCAAGGTTCATTGGACATGACACTTACTTGGAAATAAGGCAAACAATCAGGCAGACCTACACACAAATTAATATTCTATACCTGACCCTTTCGAATCCACAACAGGGCCTCAACACCACACCACAATACAACAATATGTGCTACAAAGAAGAGCATCCATGACTGCAATTATTTCCTCATTTAAAATTGTGCAATCTGCTGTTCAGATATAGCGGGGACATGGGGAAAAAAAAAAAAAAAAAAAATCACAATCCTTCAGACCATACAACTGAGAAGTGGTTTGTAGGAGTGCATGTACATGTAATGGGATCCTGTGGCTGGTTAAAGGAGGCTTCAAGACAGGCCCCAAATTCTCCTCCATTGGCATGCACATGCAACAATGACAGGTTAGGATAGTCAAATGCATTTGTCAGAGAGCCAAATGAAGTCTAAAGCCCAGTACAGACCAAAGTTTTGCAGCAAACAGAACCATTTTAGAACGCTGAACAGAAAAGTTGCATCAGTGTGAACTGGCCAGCCTCCGCTGGACTCTCAAACTGGTTGATGGTGTCACCTGCGACTCTGCTTGACAAGTCGCCAATGGCTGGTTTTAGAGCGTAAGGCACATCACCTGTTTCAACAGCCAGTTGGCTTGTAGCAAAGTTTGCTGGCCAAGTACGGTACAAACTGTCCACAGGCAGTGTGCTCATTCCCTGTGCCATTCCTTGACAACAACCCTCCATCCTCGCCAAGCCCATCTCATTTACATCCCTGCAGCTGTTGTCATGTGCGTCTGTCTCTGTCCTTAGTGTGTTGGTGTTGGGCAGCGGGTCACTGATGCTCCCCAAAGTATGTTCGCATGTCACACACACACGTTGACTGATTAGTCTGCCATGGTTATTTACATTATTGTGGTGTATTTGTTATTATGAATACAGCCCATCTGACATGCAAGTTGTTTTGTTTATATTTTGATTCTGTTTCATCAGAACTAGAAATGCAACTGAAGCGAGTAACTCACTTTCACTATTCTCAATCATAATTAAGGAAGCTACAAATTATCTTCAGCTACAAAATAAGCCTGAAAATCAAAGCAGAAGTACCGAGAGTTGCTATGGAGACAATACACCATCTCATCTAGTCGTATTGTTAAAATGGCAGGTTCTCACAACGTTGCAGACCGGCACATTACAAATAGTTGCAAGTTTCAACTCCTCTCATCACGAATGTTTGGTCTGAACTGGGCTTCACAAAGATGCCTGAAGTGAATAAATGGATCATTTTGGTGAGTCAAATCTGGAACTGTCTCAACTTTGAAACATAAACTGAGGTAACAAAGCACTGTTCTGGGTTTTGGTGAGTCAATTTTAGAGGTCTGATTCATGAGAACGTTTGGTAGGTTCGTTTGGTAGGTGGTTTGCAAAAAACACAAACCAAGCTCCCTTCACATAAACAAACATGACATAGTTACTTACCTGGACAGGGGACGGTTTCTCCCATCCCATTTCAAAGATTCCCATTAGTAGTTCCCGCTTTAGGCAGTAGTCTTCGAATTCATTTCCCTTAGTTGATGTCACATCCTGGAAGACCAGAGCAGAAACATATGAGACTATTGTTTAATAGGATCCAGAGGTTGATGTGACAGCGAGTCAAAAACATATAAAAATTCAACAGAATATGTGGAAAGTATCTCAGAGTTATAAACAATGGATGTGAATAATTATGACTGGTAAAATCAACAGTTACGTTACCGAAGTTTTCATTCTGGTGTCTTTTGGGGGAAGTTCCAGGCATTTCTTCCAGTCATCTCCAAACCTAATTGTAAGAATTTGCATTGTTATGTCTGAATAAATAACAACACACACAGACAAAGGAGGGCTCTGAAATATACTGAACCCAAAGTGCACAACAGCAAGACACAATGGAGCCACTATTAGGGTAAACTATTGCTGTTGTTAAAATACGTTTGCGGTCAACTTCATTGTGCAAAATATACTCATTATAAGTTTTGTACAAGAAATTACACTTGTATCTATATTTATAATCTGGAGATTTTTTGTATCCAGCAGAGCTTCACAGATACAAAACTTGCATTTCTTTCAATACAGATTAACTGAGAGAATATATGTCACTGGATCTTACTTGATGCCCCCACTGCTTTGAGGAATGCTGGTCTTTTTCTGGAGAGCACTAGGCTGTTGGGCAGTTGCAAGGAGTCCCGGCTGTCCTCTGAGCTGCCCATTTGCTTGTTTGTTCAATCCAATCATTGCTGCTGGGTTTGCTGTTCTTGCTGTAGCCATGGATTCGACACACTTGAACTGGCAAAAATCCTCAGTATGTTTTATTTGCCTCTTTTTGTGATGGTTGCTTTTTCTTAATGCACCCGTGTGTAAAAAAAAAAAATAAAAAACTGTTTTCTCTTTTTTTAAAGAATGTATTGCGTACACAATCTGACGTTCAGACCTCTTGAAAAGAAGAAGCCTGCCTATCAATTCTGTCTATTTACAAGACAACTCTCCAAAAAAGGGAGAAATTAACATTTATATCAATAAATAAATTGACCAAAACATAGACTCTTTCTTTTCTTGTCAGAGTACTCTTATTCTTGCTGTATTGATGATCCAAAATTTTCTGTGTTCTTCGTGAATCTTGGCTTTTTAAGTCCAAGTGCTATTTTTATACATTCATAATGGCCAGTAGTAAAATATGATCTTCTTGGTCACGTCTCAGACTATGATTTGTTCCTGTGACATCAAAAAGTCTTCTTCTCTAGGGCTCAATACTGGCTCAAAAAAAAAGTCACTCCAGCACTGTGTTTGTCTTTCACATGGACAGTTCAGTTTTAAAGTCTGTGGTTATGTCTTTCTGGTTTCCTTTACTCCTGTAGCAAAACTTGAGATGGCAGTCTGCAAAGTGCTTGGGGGATTGCCGATCAACAAGAAGTCCAGGTTACCTGTCAGGCCATAAACAATCGTGGGTGGTTAGTTTAGAGCTAGTGGCACAAAAAATAACAAAGGGCTACCCAAACTTTAGCTACTATCGATCAATAGCACATATCAGATGGGTGCAAAAACCACCTTCGATAAGCTGCAAACAATGCCACGTTAAGCAAAGCCATCAAATGCCAGCAACAAATGCTAACGTTCAACCGCAAAACTAGTTTAATTTAAAAATGACCTGGTATCAAATTAATGTTAACAGGGCGAAACTGTGGCGTAAACAGCTTCATTTTAACACGAAATAGCAAGCAATAACAACCGTGCCAGTGCGGCTTTGTTGTGATGCCTTTGGTTTATAAGCTAGCCTAATGCTAACTTAAGCTAACGTAGTAAGAGTTGCGAGCTAACACCAACTGACGAAGTTACGTTCAAAGTTAGCTTAGCTAGTTGGCCACTAAACTTTAAACCCTTCTTGAACAAAACATAAAGTAGAGCAAAACACTGGAGTATTGCCCGTGTGTATCTTCTTTCATAAATACTTGGTTGTCACTGTCGAAAGCATAGCTAGCAGGGAAGAAGTAAACTTAGTAGCACACCTATAAACAGCGTAAAACTTTAGGCATAGCAACGTGGCTTTAACCGTCCAGCTAGCAAGCTAACGCTAACTTTTAATCGTATTCCCGTTTGCTATATGGACCGTGTGTCAAACCTCTCACCAAGAAACAACGAGAACAAAGCAAACCTGCGTGGTTCATTTCAATTCGAGTCTGTTACTTTAACGTTTAACTCAACCTGACCAAACGGTTAAGTTAGCATGCTAGCGTTAGCTTAGCCGGAGTTAACGTACACGGCAGTGTTAATCAATATGCTTGAGAAATAACTCTTTACCCAGTCGGAGGAAGATGCTACCTTCACTTTGCTACATCCACCCAAAGTTTTCCCAGTTGTGTCGTTGCTTTACTTTATATCATCAGTTTTAATTAAGTTTCGGTAAATACTCGCTGTTTGCAGAAATCCACCGAGTTTTTTAACTCTTTTGTCTCTTCTTTCGGAATATTCACAATTCAACATGGCCGCGCGCTCGTTTTTGGGCCGGTTGTTTGCCCCAGAGGACCGCCCACCGACCAATCACAGCACGGCTTTCAAATTCTCAAATGTTACTGAGAGACAAGCTGCAAAAACCAAGACAAAACTCAACTCTGTTGGACACGTTTTATATAAAAAATATCTACACATTTTTACAATATAGCATCACACACACACAGGCTCATACAGTGGGTTATTAAAATGACAGATAGAAGGATTTAAACTGTGCAATATTAAGTCAAGTTACATTGTGAAGCCTTCCAGTAAGCAGACTGGATATATTTTACATAGGGTGTCTAAATATGTTCTTTGTTGCCCTTCATTTCCTGTCATCACTCTTCTGTCCTCTGTAAAAAAAAAAGCTAAAACTCCACCATTAACTGAAATCTCCAGGCAGTTTTTAAAGCACTCCTTTGTGTTCAGCCTTCATTGCATGCAGTGGCACATTTCTGCTACTACATATATGCATATGGAGAAATCCAGTTGAGTGCTGCAGCAGCTTGTCAGTCACTAGGTTTGGTCCCAGTCGTCAACTGGGGTGCCCACAGCAGTGGCCGGATGAGGAGAGAGGTTGCAGACACTATGTCCAGGCATCAAAACCCGACGAGGGATTGCAGCTGTGACTGTCTTTTCTGGGAAAGAAGACCAGCTTGTATTTCAGCCGCAGTCTTTTGCCGGCCTATCATCCCTTTTGGGCACTGAAGTCTCTTTGTTGGCTGGCTGTGCAGAGGTAGTTGCAAGTTGCACTGGACAGTAACTTTGAGCTAGTAAAATGGAAATACAAGCATGGATGGAGTCTTTGGAGAGTGGGAGGTGCTGCGATGAGGGGTGTGTGGCGTAGTCGACGGTGAACACCCACGACTGTGGCTGGGGGATGGGGACCCTAAAGAAGAGGCAAAGAGTACAAATCAAATGCTGGGATTTAATTGGCTGGGTGTACTTGTGTGTGTTAACTGTGTGCATTTTCTTACCATTTTCTGTTATGCTGCTCCGATGTGGTGAGACAGACACACACTGTTGATCTCTTATCTGGTTGGAGCCTCTCCCTCGTAACACATCTGCTATCTGCAAAAATATTTACAATCTGTTACAACCTTGTGTGCATGACCTGTGAGTGTCACACTGATCTACAAACAAACAGCTCTTGAGCCAAACGAGCATATAACACTGGTGGAGAAAACACTGCACCATTCAGGTTTGTCCTCTAGAGGGAAGGATACACACACTTTCTTTCCCATCTGGATTCAACCATGTCTTCTGACTATCCTAATCAGAGCCGAGTCAAGAGGGTTTTGCAATGGTTGCATTTGTTCTGACGTAACTGAACTATTGGTGGGATTTTCCATTGTAAAATTACAGTGTGTGAATGAAAAATTGGACAATCACAAAGAAGTCGTTCAGTCATTTTGGTCACCTTTTTTTGGGAGTTCATTTTTTTTTTTTCTAAATTGTCCTGATGCCGCAACTCACAACCATGAAAAGACAAACAATAGAGTAAGAATGGCATTTCAGCTAGGTCTGTTTCATACTGCATATTTTCTGTCTCTCTGTTGTCCCCTCACTCACTTTCTTGTTCTTGGCCACCATCACAGGGGTGTCATTATGGTAGTTCTTGAGGCTGCTGTCAGCTCCGCTCTTCAGTAGCAGCCGTACCGTGTCCACCTGACCCCGGCCACAGGCGCTGTGAAGGGCTGTGTTCCGACTATATGACTGGCTGTTGACATCACAGCCACTCTGCAAGAGAAAAACATGAGAAGTTGACACAGATGTGATTCATAAAGAAAGCCAGAGGAGACGCAGTTCAGCATAGAAAGTGAAACAGAATACAGATCCATGGAGAGGGTGAGTGAGATCAGATAGGAGAGATGAAGAGGAGAAAAAATGCTTTAAAAGGAGAGATGAAGGAAGGAGAGAAGATAATTCTGCCCATGTACAACACATCTGCTACACTCTGATAATAAAGCTAAACTATTAATGTTTTGCTCCGATTCTTTGAAGGCCTTATCTATACACACAAGAAAAGAATAGGAAACTTAGTATGCAGCTTACGAGCTGGAAAGAGAAAACCAGACTTATCAAATAGAGCTGAGTCACAACCCCTCTCTCCCCTCCCTCCTCCCTGCCCACACACCCTCATTACCTCAATGAGGAAGTGGACCATGTCTGCGTTATTGCTTTCCACCGCGTGCATTAGAGGACTCTGGCCACTTTTGATGTCCTGATGAGAGTATAAAACAACACCATGGAAAAGTCAGAGGATGAACAGACGGTAAATGTTAAATTTGTGAAGTTGTGAAACTTAGTCAGTGCTGAGTCAGTGCAGCACAAGGACTGACCATAGCGTTGATGTCAGCGCCTGCATCCAGCAGCATTTTGGCCAAATCTTTATGGCCCCGCAGCACTGCCAGATGGAGAGGGCTCAAACCTGAGAACAGGGACGAAGCAGAACCTGAGTTTCATATTGAACCAATTCAGACACACATGTACACACACAATGGGCATAAGTCCAAGTAAATGCATATACACACACCTGCGTAAACCTGTTATTACACATACTGCCTCCACACACAGTATACAGAGACACAGGCAGTGTGTGGCATAACATTTAAGTGTGTAGGACTTAGTGGCATCTAGCAGCGAGAACTGCAGATTGCAACTAGCTGAAATGTCTCCCATGACCCAAGCATGAACTGCCAGTTGGATTCCTTCACTGTTCATTGCCGAATTATCAACAGAGGCCTCCTCCTCTCCAAACAAACGGACCAGGTGTCTTATTTATAATATAGTACATAAGATCCATACTACAAATGTATGTACGGACAAAAGCCAAAGTGGCGTGCGTCAAAAAATATTCAACCATTTCTACAATCAGGCTTCCACCTCACCTTCTGTGTCACCAATTTCCCGTCTCCAAAATGTTCATGAGCATGGGTCAAAGTTTATCCCATTAAGTCTGTTTTTATAGATCGCAACTTCTGCATGGGAAGTGGTGCACACCTCTTTTAGGCGTCGTTTTGTGCACACGCCTGGTGACCCCTGGTAATTAAAACTTTTTTCTTTGGTAACTTAAGATCCAGACGTTCAGGAGGTTTTTTTTGCAGGAGCTGAATTATCCGCAAAGGTCTCCTCCTCTCCAAAGCACATGGGCCCGGTGATTTAAACCGGTAAAAACACTTAATAAGGCAGTTTCACGTAAAAATGGGTGTTTTTCCGATGCTGTTTCAGTTCATTGCCAAACGCAAAAACCCAAATGGCCCTATCCAGAGCTAGTATCTGGTTTGTCCACTCTGGGCTACTGTAGAAACATGGCAGTGCAACATGTTAGACTCCGTGGACAAGGACTCGCTCACTATGTAAACATAAACGGCTCATTCTAACGTAACAAAAACACGACGATCCTTATTTTCAGGTGATTATACATAAAAGAAAACACATTTATTATAATATATTCCATTTCTGCCAGTATATCCCCCTAAATCCTAGAGACTGGGCCTTTAAAGTGAGTTTAAAGCTTCTCCATGTTTTCTTGGGACTGGTTAGCAGACTGCTACCAGAGCCAGGCCGAGAGGTTTCTGTCACTGAAAGATTCATAGACTAGCAGGAGCATCTTAAACTGAATCATGTGGTACACAGGAAGCCAGTGGAGAGACCTGAGTATTGGTGTGATATGTTCACCTTTCTTCACCTTTGTTAGGACTCTTAAAGCTGTGTTGTCTAGACAGGAAATTATTCCATTACATTAAAATGAAAGTAGACTTTGCTATTTGGTTGAAGTTGTTGTAATTAGATCTGATCCCTGCTCGACAAATAGAATTGTAGAGAGACAAGCCTGTGTGTATTTTGGGGGCTTTCTTCTGTACCCAGACTTGTTACTTTCACACTAATGTCTCCTGTGCTTTAACATCACAGGCATACGCTGGTGATGTGACAATGTGAGACTACACAAGACCACAGAGGAAGGACACGTCCTTTTCTCTTCCTGCCCACACATCCAAAAGCAACCAACCCCACACCTACCTGAAAAGGCTTCACATCTCTTATAGCCCCCAACAAGCTAGTAAGGTAGTCTGTGGCTGTTCACCATTTTACTGCTCACACATGTACTGTAAATGACCTGATGTCAAAGTGTCTGCAATTTCTAGATGTCAATATAAACTTGGTCACACACACAGGGAGTAGTGAGAAAAAGGCAGCTGACCACGATGCCCAAAACTTCAGCGTAATGATAATGGCTTTGCTTGTATTCATTAAATTAAACACATAAAAATCACTAAGGAGGAAATGGTCCAGCACAAGCCTGTATCAGATTAAATAACATAGTGAGAAGAGCGAGTCAGTCATCTGAGAGCAACTTCTATACAGACTGAGGGGCCTCCTCTGTAGACCCCAACTTACCCTCATAGTTTCTGATCTCCAGGCATGTGGAGGATGAGGAGCGAGAGAGCAAGACAGATAGACAGTCACGCTGCTCATATTCGCAGCAGAGGTGGAGCGCCGTCTGGCCGTTACGGTCCAAGGCAGCAGGGTCGGCCCCTTCTCTCAACAAAGCCTCCACCATATTGGCCTGCTGGGTGATCACTGCCAGATGAAGTGGAGTCTGAGGGGGAGGATGACAGCAAAAATGACAGTTTAGACAAACCAGTTTATTCAGGTCCATAACCACAAAAGCCAATACACAGTGTCTCAAAATAGTTTTCATATTTCACACTGCAGCGCACAGTAGACGGCATTCAGAAAGCGTAAACCCCCCACTAATGCTGAACAGTGCTCCAAGACATTATTCCCATCTCTTAAAATTTGAGATAAATAGATTTGTTACCCTGCATGGATGCCATTATTTCGAAACAAGTCTCTATGTTAGTGTCACTGTTCTGACTAAAAATGCTCATCTAATGGTGGAAATCCCAGATCCTGAATTTCACCAAATGCAATTACTGTATGTTAATATAGTTCCTCTCCCAAGGCTTTTTTTGACGATCTCAAAATTACAAATCCATAAAAGAAACAGCTTGACATTTTGTAAAAATACACTTTTCTTTCTGGTGGAGAGTTAAATGAGAAGATATCATGTCTGCTGTCACTAATTTTTCATTGTCTGTTTTTTCTCCTCAAGTTGAGGGGAGGTCCGTTTGTATAAGTTTGTGGATCTTGACCTCTCCTGACACATTTCTTATTTCTTTTACTAAACTGTTTTTTTTTTTTTTTTTGCAGTTTTATGTGTGTACAAATAATAAATAAATAAATAAAAATAAAATGTCATGTAGCAAACATGAAGCCACAGCAAGAGGCAACCTCCGGAGCTGAAAAATGAAGCTAACATGAAGTGCCAAAAACTGCAGTTCCTGGCTCCTTAAGCGAGTTAGTCCTCATAGACACTCATGCTAAAATGCAGAAAGCAGAAATAAACAAGGTTTACAACCTGGTACAACAAACGGCTTTGGTCTCTATAGCTAATTTTAACATTCACGACAACTGTATGGGGGGGTGAATTTTCTTACAACTCAAGAGCAAGGCTGCTTGAGTGACAGGATGTTTGCAAGGCATTGTTAAGAGAGCAGGGAGACAGTTAGCTTAGCTTAGACTGAAAACGGGGAAACAGCTAGCCTGGCACTGCCTGCAGATAACACAATTTGACAAGCACCTATCAATAAATCACTAATTATTGTATCTTGTTTCTTTAATCAAAGTGTAAAAACAACAAATCACCATTTTACAGGCTTATATGCCTGAGTATTTCATGACTCGGTGCTGGTAGTTCGATTTCGTTGCCTTTGGACAGAGCCCTCTCACTGGTCACCACTGTTTCTAGTTTAAATGTTAAGCTAAGATAACTGGCAGATGGCTGTAGCTGCATTATGCTTGGGTGGTATCAAGGTATTACTGTTTATACTGTATTTAGAAATTCCAAAGGTATGATTTTCTCCTCTCCTGCTCCTCTTTCAATTTCAAACTGATACAGAGATGCTGTATTGATGTGATGTAGTGCACAATATGCGCCACAATAGGTCAGTCTCCACTGGTGGAACAGGCAGTGGAGCTAAGAAAGACGTCAACTGCGAGTGGTGGGGATAACATTACAGAACTAGTAAAAAAGAAATATGCCTCCGTGCCTATGTGGGGGAAATGCCATGTATAACGTTATCTTTAGGTCACGTTGTTCTACTACAAAAGCAGTTAATTAGCAACATCATTTTATTCAACACATGATCTCGGTTCAGCCCACTGATCATTCCATTCTGCTCCTGTATGTTTGCACAATAACAATAAAGACATCTGAATCTGAATCTTATGTGTCAGTATCCGCCACAGCAACAAGTGTCATCAGGTCGTCCGGCAAGTAGGGCGCTTATTTCCTATCTATGCATTATTCTGTGGGACATGAGTATTTAAACCAAGTAAGACTTGTCTAAGTAGATTAATTGCATATTAGAAACACAGCATTGTAGGCTAGACAATGACATACACATTAATATGACCTCTATCACCAGCAGCTCAGCTTTTACGTTTTTGTTGTTGTTGTTTTTTTAACACAAGTACCGTCATATACTGTATACCTGGTGAAATGCCAGGAGGGTATGAAGGTATGAAAAAATATCAATATCTGCATATTAACTGATCAGACCTGAGAGTGGTATGATCTCCAAAGCTCAGCCAGAAAGCCAAGTGTTTCATATATCTTGTTGCCAACCGGACTAACTAGTTACATCATAAGATCCGTGTTGGCAGTAACGGATACAAGACAGGAAAAATAACAAGATAGAAATTTACAAAATCTTACAATCAACACATCTCGTAAGTGAGGTTGGCGGAAGAGTGCTGTTATTTCTAGTAAAGGCCTGCTTTCATCTCTAACCTGTTCTACAGGTTAAAGGTCAGATACACAAAAGCAACAATGCCTGTAAGGACGGGCCAACGCCTAAAATAAATAAACAAGGAGGAACCATGTCAGCTAAAATTAGAAGTATTAAACATCAGAAGATCATGAGATACAGGCATGTGTACGCCGTGCCTATTCCCACAAATACACAAACACACCTAACCCATATATACACACAACACACACCCACACACAATGCCAATATTCATAGTCATCAGCAACCAAATCAAAGTCCAAAAAAACAGCAGACTGTCAAAGATGAGACCTTTGCACCATATATCACAGAACAAACAACAACAACCCTAGCATGAGACTGTGTGATTATATCCAAACAAGGCGGAACATTTATTAGGTGTTTGCCTGCAAGAGGACGTGCTGATTGGATACACTTGAGCAATCTAGGATGTTCCTTTGGGTGAGGTCAGCATGTATCATCCTGTCGATAATTATGTCAACTCCGGTCACTGAAAAACTTCTGTTTAAATTCAGCAACGCAACAGTTCAGTCATAAAGGGAAGTCTTTTTAACCTGGACTTTTTTAGCTGCCATTCAAGTTACACAATCAGCGCAGCAATCGGGAACAGATTGTTGTTCCAAGTTTCACTTTTGCTTTATTGTTACTGTGTGTGTGTGTGTGTGTGTGTGTGTGTGTGTGTGCGTGTGCGTGCTGGGGATTTGTTCCAGTAAAGACTATTAAAAAAAGTAGTCTAGCAGTGGGAGAGCGCCTTTGTGGAATTCCTCAAGTGTGTCAATGCCAGTGTTCCTCCCTTCATCTCCCGTTTCCCTGAATCCAATGACTCACACACACACTTACGGATACAGAAACACACAGAAAAGAGCACACACACACGCACACACAATCATATCCCCTATAAAATCTGCATTTCTTGAACTTCCTATAATCAGTCACTGTGAATAGCAGCCATACTACTATTTTGACCCCACACAGCACTAATGAAACATGTATGGTAGAATCCAGGAGTACCTTCCACACTAAGGCCTTTTAAGGCCTTAAAAATAGACCTCTCAAATTTGGCAGATCCTAGCTGTGGCTTCCTGTAAAGGATTTCAGAGTGACTCAAACAAAAATCCAGCAAAGATAAGAGGAAGGGTGGGTAGGGGGTGAGGGGGGGACGCAGGGCGGAGAGATGGAGGAATGAGGAAGAAGCGGAAGCAGCAGAGGGGAGTCCAGGGGAAAGACAGGATAACAAGGGAAAATCCCTTCTCTTTCCCCTGGGTCTGTCCTTGCACACTTGCATTCCTGCAAAATGAGCAGCTCAACATTCGGGAGGTGAAAAGATGAGAGGAGGTTTCTGGGCATGAAGAACAGCCCCGGGCTGTAGGCAGAGCCAAACACAAAGAGAGGTGGAAGGCAACAGACAGAGAGTATTCTTCTGTGGTGAAAAGTATAGCGTAAAGCAAGTCCTGTTGCACAAATAAACATCACATGCTCTTACGTCAGTGTTGTTGACGTTACTCTGATAACACCAGTCAGTTCATCAGTTATGGTGACAAACCCTGAATTATGTCAAGATATATGCGGCCAAAGATGTGAAAAAAGATACTGAAGTGAGAGCGAGACAGATAGAGAAAGCACAGAGAGAGACAGAGAGAGACAGAGAGAGAGAGAGAGAGAGAGAGAGAGAGAGAGAGAGAGAGAGACGCAGCAAGGGAAAGTCCCCGTAAACTACCCATTGAACCAAGGTATGTTGAGAAACAGCCCAAAGCGGGGGGGGGAGTCATGTGACTTCTCGGAACAAGGATACTAAAGCACACACAAACACACAGAGATGTCTCACTCGTGCACGCACACTCACACACACATTTAAAAAAAGGCATGCCACCAGCAAGCACATAAAAACTGGGAAAAAAAATGAACTGATATAAATCTGAACAAAAAGATTTTTACAGTTCAGTGAATGTGACTATTTGCAAAAATGTTTTTAAAGAAGTGATTAATAAATTGTTACGGATCATCTGCATGCTGCATTGCAGAAGTAACACACGCACTTTGGTGGATGTCTTTAAAGCACATGACCATAACAATATGTTTTCGTGTAGGTGGCCCCTGGAGATTCAGTCCCCAAACCCCACTAGTGTCAGTGCCACGCACTACACCATCAGCTGTGGGGAGAGCAGCGAAACGTTGACTACTACGCTGTGTGTTTGTGCAGCCACACTGATAGCATGACCAGTGTGGGAGTATCAAACAGCTGTCTCTACCATCATAGTAGTTCATGGAGTGGAAGGCAAATCAAGCACTGACACTTGCACTGTTGTTCAGTTACAGTACTGATAGTAACACTCTGTCAAAAAGTTCCATACGCAAAACCACAGAAACTCAGGATTTGTCATCAACATTGGAGGAGCTGTATTTTATTTTTTACTATATCTTTGGGAAGTTGGCCAATGCCAGAAAATGTTTTCAAGTCTGTCTGGTAAACTTTATGTTTTGAAATATAGAAAGTTCCCTTTTGAAGTCTTTATGCCTGGTAGTTAAAACCACACAATCTGGTAGGCAAATGACTGTGACGGGACTTGGGCCTGAAAATCTCCCTTTTTGGGCTAGAAATGCATTTGGCATAATATGTGTGAGTGTGTGAAAAAAAGGTTTGTGAGTGCGTGTTTGTCGCGTGCATGCATTTTCATACCAGGGTTTACACAGGATATCACAAAACCTATTCTGTCAAGCCTCAGCGATGAGGAAAGACAACAACCAATGATAGCACAAGCGTTATTTCTGGTAAGCGAGCCTGCGGTGTCCTGTGTGGTGTGAAACTCCAGCATTGAGAACTAAAGCTCTGCACGACTCAGGTGCTTTCTCTGCTGAAGGATGAAAAGGAGAAAGCTGGCAGAATGCAGAGAAGGTGGAGACAACAGAGGGGAAGAGTGCTGGCTTGAGGCCAGTGGCTGGGACAGCCCTGAATTGGGAAACACTCAAAGATTACTCCTTGTGCACATTCCAGTAAGGTACACTGTAACTGGTACAGTCAGTTTTCATAAGACTACTCACCTTAGTGAAAGTTTAAAGACCCTTTGCCCATTATTATCATTGTGACTAGTCAAAGTTGCCCTGGACAAAGAGTCAGTCAAGAAAAAAGCAAATGTAATATGAGTTTAAAGGGACATGATATCATGTCATTTCTCCACTCTCTTCATGTGCTTTGAGTTAAGAGGCCAAGACATGAGATATGAATGCTGGGTTCATGAGAGTTCATGGGAGTCACACTTCGCACCACTTAATCATCTCATCTGAATTTCACAACATGGCAAATCCAAAATGCAAAACCTAAAAATCCCTACCTACAGGGACACCGAACACTAGAAAACCATGTACAAAATAAAACAAAACACTGGAAAACACATGTAGTCCTTCCGGGCATGTGCTTGGCTTTGGCTTGAGGCAAGTGCAGGTGGAGAAACCAGGAAGGGTGAATTCCACTGCATAATCATCAGCAGCGATGACTGTAAGAGAGTGTGATAACACAGTGCAAGGCAAGGAGGAAACCAAGGCACTTCCTCTTTCATTCTTTTCCATGTTACTGTTATCAGAAGGGTGAGGCGGCACGGGGAATGTATTTTACATGCTGTGGTTGTCTGGGACAGAAGTTCCCTTCTCATTTCTATTCTATCTTTCATTATGTTATACTGACTGAGGCCGAGACCTCTTTCATATGTGTTGCGAAACAGAACTGAAACATTTAAAAAAAAAAAAAAAAAGCGGACTGGAAAGGAGGACAATATTTTCCCACAAATGTCAAACTATTGATTTTGAATTCTGCATTTGTAAATGTAATGACAGCAGCTATATGTGCATGCATGTATGTTTTCATGGCACACAGAAAAATGTTGGTCCCTTGAAAGTTCTTTTGCGTGGGTTGAGGTGCTATATAGCACTGCTGCCACACAAACAACTTTTTAAGTTGAGTCGAGTTTAGTTTGACTGGGACAAAAAAATAAAAACATGACATTAAAATAGCCTGCAAACGGTGTATTTTCAGAGGATAACAAATGAAAGGAGTGGCTCTTGACCTTTGCCCCACGTGAACGTTAATATTCCAGGCTTGAAAGGGTAACATATTGTGTTCCTCAATAAGAGTTTAGTACTGCATGCATACAGAAAATCTCAAAAATCTAAAACAATATAGTAGTATTTGCCACCTCTAATGGCTCTATATAGAACTATATGACAAATGTGCTATACAGCAGTGGTCCCCAACTGGTGGGTTGTAGTACAAAAAAAAAGTGGTTTGTTGGTCCATTCTCAATGGACCGCAAGTGACTTGCGAAGGTTTGTACAAAACATGCTTTATTTTAAAGTACAGTGAATTGGCATTTCCTCCTGTAGAGTCAGTGACAAACGGACAGCTACTTGACAGAGACAGCAAACTAGCTCCATGGCATGGCCAAATGCAAGTGTGATGCTGAATATATTAAATTGTGTGGACCTTGAACTGATGACTTAAGAGAAAGCTGGACTCAGTGGCTGGACCAGTTGGGAACCACTGCTGTATAGCACCTTAAGATGTGTGCCATATAGCACCAAACAGATTCCCGGAGCCAAATAGCTGCCTTTGGGTACTGTTTAGTACTATTTTTGTTTAGTGTGCTGCAGAAATGTAACAGGTGCGTATCGAAAGTGCATTTGGTTACCTGACGGAGGTTGTTGTAGACATCAAGGCTTCTGCGAGCCAACAACAGGAGTTGGATCAGTTTGCGGACGATGGCCAACTCCCCCTGCACCACTGCTATATGGAGGGCTCTGTAATGGATACACAAGAAAACAACAGACACAAATAATTTTACTCTACAACAGCTGAAAGAGAGATTATGCAAAAGGATATTTAAGTGGGTCTGACTGTAAAACCCCATACCAGCACTTTAAAAGCTCATGTTATATGTAGAAACTAGAAGCAAAATGTCATCTTGACATCTCAGCCAGTTACCTGGCAACCTCACAGCTATGTCAAACTTTTTAAAAGTTTGTTTTACACATACATGGCTTTCGTATGGATTGAACTCATGAGATACAACATGTTTATTGACAGCTCTGGATTTGCTGGTAGGCCGATGTTGATGCCCCTGGACCGAGTCAGGCAAGGTTTCTTCTGCTTTCTGTCTTTATCCTGATCTAAGATATGCAGAAACTGTTGCTCTAGTGTATATAGCTCTATCACTCATGCTGATGAAACATCACACATTTTCTTCTCAACTTTAAAATCTAACCGGCGAAAGACTTTAGTTTTTCTGAAATCAGAAGTAACAAATTCTGCTTGATCTTAATTATCCCATGGCAGTTGTACCGTGGAGCTCCACAAATGTACAGGCATGACTCACACCACCCTTATCACACCCTTATCAAGACTAAAGGGGAAACCACTATCTGTGGTCTATACGTGAAGCGAAAGAACAAACGCAGGCCAAAGTTTAGGACAGGGAAAGGCAGGAAACTAAGCGGGGGGAGGGCATGCTAAAGAACACCGTATAGCAGTTTTCACATTTTTCTTTTTCATGCTGTCAGAAGAAGCAGCTTCCAGTAAGAGCCAGACTGATTTTATGTCACTTCCTGTTGTCAGTAACAATGGCAGCATTCTTTATCTTGCTCTGTGTGCTGTGAAATCCAGCCATTAAGCTGTATGGTTTCTGACAGGGGCTTTCTGTAACCAAAAAAGGAGGGAGAGGTTACACTTGTACTTTGCTTTGTGATCAGTAAGTCATAACCAGACAAAAACCAAGGCACACTGCTTTGCAAAAGTTAAAAGGCCGTTAATAAATGGGCTTAGCGCCTACACATTTCAACTCACAGTCCTCATCTGGGCATCGTGCCCAAATATTAAAGGCTTTTTAACTTTTGTAAAGCAGTGTGCATTAATATTTTTCTGTTTATGAATTATTAATCACAAAGAAAAGTACAAGTCTAACTTCTCCCTCCTTTTGGGTCACATATGTCCTTGGATCCAAAGAGCACCTGTTTTTGATACCTGCATGTGTGAAGTAGCACTCCTCAGCCAACCTACTTTGCAGGGGCTTTCTGTACGTACACTCAGTCAGCTTCATCCAATGGGGAAGTCATAATCAGACGTACAGTATAATCATGTAACAGGAAACAGGGACGCTTCTTGAGAAGTTAAAGCACCCTTGCATAGAATTTGAGGTCAGAAAATAAGTTCTTATAATGACAACAGCGCTTGCAACACTTCCACTGACATGGAGTCATTAATGATGGTAATTTCCTGCTTGAAAAAAATATAGATTAAAGAGACCTCTCTGAGCAAACAACAGACACTCAGACATACAGTGCTGAGCTCTGCATTTACATGCGGCTGGTGTTTGGTTCATGGAATCTATCTATGTGCCTTATAACAGTATCAAATTACTGTAATTATCTCTTCCAACCACATATAAACCAAACATCTTACATAATCTCTATATTCACAGTGGAAACATTCAGATTCTTTGCAACTTGATGAAGGCAAGTATGAACAGAATAATGCCTCCGGTTTGTTAAACTGAAGGATAAGCATGTGCCAACCTTCACTTGGTGGTTGCAGGGAAAGACAAACAAAGGCAGACTCTGCTATGTCGGTGCATATAACTCAACAATTTTACAACTAAACCAATAAATAAGTGCAAAATGTGTGCATGTGCACATACATGCATAACTGCACACACGTGAACCAGCAAGGACATCAACTCTCCAACTACATGCTGCTGTGCACGCGCAAGTTAGAGCTGCAACTGCAATAAACAATCAGATGATTTGCACCTGACATCAGAGCGAACAGCAGAAAAAGCAGAACTGCACGCTGGAGCGGGAGTGTGATGGTTCTTTCCTCAGCTGGTGTGTGTTCCTGTAACTGAACTCAGCACTGTGAATAAATCTGTAACAACACAAGATTTATTAATCATATTTACTGTACATGTACTGTACACTCATTGGCACCTATCGCATGCCTTGAAAAGCCCCTGCAGAGTCTCAGCAATAAATCTTTTTGCAAATGGTGTGATAAATCATGCTACCACTCTAGATACTTATCTCTCAAAGCACTGAGCTCAAATAATGTGTCAATAGTTGCCTTCATATTAGAGCCGACATGATTATTGTGGCCAAAAGAGTACACTACAATGATATTATTGCAATATCTATATATGATATCTATTCATTTTCCGTAACAGCTTATCTTGTTAGGGGTCATGGGGGGCTGGAGCCTATCCCAGCTGACATTGGGCGAGAGGCAGGGTACACCCTGGACAGGTCACCAGACTATCACAGGGCTTACAAATAGAGACAGACAACCATTCACACTCACATTCACACCTACGGCTAATTTAGAGTCACCAATTAACCTAACCTGCATGTCTTTTGATTGCGGGAGGAAGCTGGAGTACCTGGAGGAAACACACGCTGACACGGGGAGAACATGCAAACTGAAAAGAAGGGCTCCCCCACCACAAGGATCAAACTAGGAACCCTCTTGCTGTGAGGCGACAACACTAACCACTGCATCACCGTGCCGCCTATGACATCTATACATAAAGTTAAAGAAAGAAAAAATATGGTATCTGGTAAAATTCATCTTTAAATGAATGTACGCAACATTCAGAGCATCAGCGTAGCAGAACACTATATGCAATGTAAAGATATGGCAGAGTAATGACGTCCTGAGCAGAGAATGAAGTCAAGCTACCTCGGTGGTTTGTTGGGGTAACCAAGTCCGGGCACACATGTATGTTAGCGCATGTGTCTTACATTGGCTAGCTCATCGCAACCGCTTTGCACTGCAATCACACAGCAGGTACCGCCGATATCAGGACAGTATTGTTGCGGCAGCAGCCCACCCTTTGGTTCCCGCATGGTTAACACCATTAGCTCTGTCAGCACTGTTTATGGCGATAGCAGCATAGCTCAGCCACCTCCATGTTGAGAACCATGTACAACTCACACACTCTGAATTTCATCCACAGCCCCTTCAACTCTGTTTGTTATATTTTCTGTCGCCTTTTTGTCAAATTAATTACACTCAAAATACAAGTGTAGGGAGGTGGAGTGAGTCTGTAACCATAACTGTATGAAATCATATAAAAAGAACAATTACACTTAATGGATGGCGAAAAGGCAACTAGAAGCGTTGGAGGAGGGAGGCAAAGCGAGAATGGATTAAAAAAAGACAAACGATTTAAGAGGTGCTGGATTACACATGACATTATGATGTGTTTTATTAACATGATATTAATATTTCATTTTTAAATGTCGTCAGTGCCAGTATATTGCAACACCCCTACTTCTAAAGTGACTCTATCTCTCGTGTTATACTCTCTTCTATCTGCATCCATCTCTCTCTTTTTCTCTTAAGATGAAACTATGCTGATTCTAGTTCCTGGAAGTGGGGCAGACCACAGCCCCAGATAACCCCAGGCACAGCGGCACTGACGCAGACAGGAGTCCCGAGCCTGCCGCGTTACTGACAGTGAGAGAGTGAGAAGAAAAGAGACTGCGAGAAAAAAAAAGAAGAAGGCTGAGAGAGAAGGCAGCATCGTGCGGTATCCTGTTTGGTATGGAGGGTGAAGGACGCAGCTGAACTTCAGACTAAGCCTTAACATATGCTGTGGTCTGTGGACCAGCTGAGCAATGAGGTGATGTGTCAGTGGTGTGAATAGTAAACAAAAGAGAAGCAGAGAGCCCGCCCCACAGTCCGGTTAACAAGAAATGACGGCTTACAGTCCGCTGTGCTCGTCATAAGGAATGCCACGACTTCCAGATTTTGTGGATAAAGTGGTCGTGGGGGAAACCTGGATGAGCAAGCAGTTTGTTGTACGGTGGGATCTGGGGTTTTTCCATCATAACGGTAACAACTCATTGTCAAAAGCAATCATAGTGCATTTTACATTAATGTGCTCAGTTTTAACCTTGATTCAGACAGTTAGTGAGTGAGTGAGTGAGTGAGTGAGTGAGTGAGTGATAGCCCTTTGAAGCTCCTATATGAGCTCCATTCTTGGATGATACAGGATATTGAACATTAATCTGCGCACATCTCAGGTCGGAAAGCTCCTCAGAAAACTTGGACTCGCAAAAGAGGTTCAAAGCACAGCACACACAATCTCACAGATAGTATGATTCACTCTTTCATGCCACAGTTGAGCGTTGCTGGATGATAGTAAAACAGGAGGACTGTGGACTCATTCACACCATAAGCAAACACCGTCTTTTTCCTACGTAGTTGCTTCGGTGTGTGAAAAAGGAACGAATGACTGGCTGTCTGATGTATACTTGAACATATACAATTAACAGAAATACCTTAATTACTATCAGTACCATCATTAGATCAGATTAGTGCCCTAAAGGATGCGTGGCAGTCTGCAGAACACGCACTGCGAACTAAGAGACAGTAAGTAGAGTTCCATCTCTGGTGGTAAGTTGCTGTGTTGATATGTGTGCAGGATGTGTTCAGTTATTTGCCATTATAGAGTGTTTCTGGTCATGCTAGTGGCGTGGCTGTATGGGTGGTAATGTCAGTCAGTTGGTTCAACCATTGTGGTCCAGACTGAAATATCACTATTGGATGGACTGCCATCAAATTTGGCTCAGACAGCCATAGTTCCCAGAAGATGAATCCTAATAACTTTTCCTCTGGCGCCATGAGGCCCTGATCACACAGAAAGGCGCACTGCACTGCCCTTTTTTTAAAAATTGAATGCCACCATGTAATCAATCTACCGTGAATTTATTCATTTTATTTATTACACAGTAATTAGTAGCTTGTTACTAAAATGGACAGGCAGAGGATACTACCCAATAGTTTGGTGGACACAGGGGAACGGAGATCTGTGTGGGTAAATGAGACCCGAAAAAGAGGGTGGATTACGTGGGGGTACCACAACTTGGTCCAGGAGCTTGTCCTCAATGATGGCCATTTCCAGGCATATTTTAGGATGACTCAGGGGCCGTATAGCTCTGCACACCCAGCAACCACTACCACCAATCTCTCCTCCTTTGTACACCAACTATAAACTTGTGACCACCACAGAAGGCCCACCTCTCAAGTCATCCCATTGGACAATGGGGAAAAAGCTGTGATGACGTGGGGTGCTTTTCTGCTCTGAGTTGAAGTTTGTTCAACTCGCTCCAGCAAAAGGCCCCTAGAGTGCAGAAACACGAAGCGCATCGCAACTCAAAAACTGGGAACAAAAAGGTTCATTCTCATTTAAAACTATTACAAAAAGCCACCTCCAGCTGCTAAAATGCTTTCTGTGTGATCAGGGCCTCGGGTACACAACTATTGTATGGATTGCCATGGAATTTGATACACACATTCATAAACTGTAATAGCTTTGATGATCTGCTGACCTTTCATGGGTCTACATTTCAAAAACTGCATTTCCATCGACCATAAATATGCTTTACATTAAGTGCCAATTAGCTAATATTAGCACGCTAACATATTAATCTAAGATGGTGAACATGGTTAACATTATCCACTGAACATCAGCAAGTTAGCGCTGTAATTGTGAGCACGTTGCCATGCTGACATGAGAATTTAATTCAAATCATGTGTACACCCCACGGATGTATACCGAGAACTAGATACAGCGTTCAAGGCAGGGCCCCATTTATTCCCATGAAAGGTGGCATGGAGTTGGCATGAAAGGCACATGAAGCCAAAAAAGTTTCACTTCCCCTGTGTGAAATTACCCCATATCTTCCACATCATTGAGCCCACAGAGTAAGAGTGGTTAACTTACAGTTTAGCCCTCTGCTAACTTGAATGGAGGTTAAATGATTTGATTGTGCAGCTCTTCTTGACATTGGAAATGTTGTCAGTCTAAATGGATCAAATACATCATTGAATCTATGGGAAAAAAGTCTTTTGGGGCCCAATGGCATCACATGATGGACCCGAAGATGTAATTCCACTGTTTGGCCACTATGAAAATTGTCTTCAAAGCCCAGCTCACTTCCTAGGGGCCTGGTTTTGCCTTACAGAACCACTAGTGTGGCTATAGACTTTTAGTCTTTTGTGTTTGTGTCTTTTCTAAAAGTTTACATGTGGTTAAGAGCACATGCAGAATTACAACATCATTAAAAATCAAAGTTCTGAGTTTACATGACATGGTGATTTAAAATGATCCAAGTCAGCAAGTAAGGTAATGATTCAGTAAAGGTGTTAGATAACAGTTTCAATCATCAGAGTGTTGCCAAACTCTGCATATACAAGTGTTTTTATGCATGTAAATGCACTGACTGACTGGAAGCACCTAGGGAATTTATTTGTAGGAGCTGTAAGACAATCAGCACATCTCATGTACAAATGATAGCGTGGATAAGCAAGTGACAAGAGGTGAGAGAGAGAGAGAGAGAGAGAGAGAAAGAGATGAATCTGATAGAAAGAAAGCGGTAAATGAGGAAGTGAGGAACGGATGTTTGGGTTTTTTGAGCCCATTCATTTAAAAACACAGAGAAGAAAGAGAGAGAGACAGAGACACCTGAGAAAAACCGCAATCGTGTTTAAAAACTGAGCACTCACTGGTTTTCCCGAAACTAAGGGGCTCAGCAGCGCTGAGAACAGACGATGAACGCCCTATTGACGTAAGAGGACGCGCACGCTCCCCGTCACTCACTTTATGCTGACACGCACACACACATACACACTCATGTACATACAGACGGTGTGAAAAGTACAGGGGGGCTGAGAATGTTTCTTTCTGCAGAATTCACACAAAGTTTCAGACGACCACAGAGCAACAAGTAGGTACTGCAGAAGCCTGCCGAGGTCTCCACTTCATCACAAAGGGGCCAGATTTTTGAAAAGTCTTTGCACTGCAGCTTTGGTGCATTAAATCTCATAAATAAAATATTTCCATTTAGATCTGTGCCTGCATTGCAAATTTGGATAACATTCTCGTATGACGCTCCAGAGAGGAATGTCAACAATTTATTGTCACGATACAACAAGTATATATAAACAAAAAAAAGTACCGTTTATCATGGCTATTGTGAGCGTTAGCGTAGTTAACATTGCACTCTACTTATTTCCTTGCCACTATCTCTTAATAGGGGATGTGTCATGGTGATTATGAGTTTCTCGGGCAGATATGGGACAATAAGCAGCTGTGACTTGTCACGGGACTTACGGCTCTGCTAAATGTTGGTCATCACGAGAATGGATGCAAATGATGCTGATACTTTTTGAAACCGCAACATCAAAGTCATTTAATTCTTGGACATGCTATGTTTCCAGTCTTATGACTCTGTGTGAGCGTGTGTGAGCGTGTGTGTATGTGTGTGTGCACTCTTGTATGAGTTTGACATTTCAGTTAGTGTGTGGGTGGATGTTAAAACTTTACACAAAGTTAAGTATCCATGCGTTAAAGCCTAATATTTGCATTCATGTGGTCTCGAGAACTCCTCCAGTGTCCTGTGTACGGTACTCTCAATCCTACGCCCTGAGAGACTTAAAATTATAGACTCAAGCAGCACAGACTCATCTGCTACAGTGTCCAGGTTAACGTGACTGATCAAAACCTTCACTGACACTTTGTGAATCATTCCTGATCTACACTGTACCAGGTTCCCTTACAGGAAGTGAAACAACAGTTGGATATAAAGGGGGCACTGACTGTACCTGTTCAATATGAACAACCAGGTGAGTCACAGGGAGCATAACAAATAAACTGAGATGATATTACAGATGCCTCACAAACCACATCCAGGTTGCGCAACGCCAGAAGTTTGTTTATGAGGTCAGATCTTCACTCGCTGAGACTAGTGTTTTATGGGTGTATCCCTGTGAATCACTTGTGTTAACTTGTTTTTTATGTGACCATTTCAATTTCACTCTTTATGACCGTGTCGACGGTCTCCCCTTGAGAAGATAGTTCAAGTAGTAAAAGTGTCAGGCCTGCAGAGAGGCAGTGTGCAGAACTGCAGTCTGTTATTGGCTGGTACGGAGCTAAGATGCCGACTGAAATGTCACAGAACTTTTATCATGTGAGACATTTTAACATGTCACAGTAGGAAAAGATGAGGTGTAAAGAATAAAATTAATGATGCCTGAATTCCATTTAGCTGCCGCAGTTTCAGGATCCTGGTAGTGAGCACACTGGCTCAATGTCACAGTATGACGGCTTACAGGGACGTTTGAATACTAATAATAGTAATACCTACTCCTACAAGTTAAAATGTCTGCTGTGGAAAACGCCTAATGGTTCACGCACAGAGGAAGATGCAGCTCTATAGACAGATTTACCAGATCCATGAACACACATAGATTATGTGAGAAACTTTAAACATGAATAGTTACCACTTTAAAGAAAAAAACAAAACAAAACTTAAAGGAATACTTCACTCCCTAAATGACCATATGTATATCAGTTAATCACACCATGTTACATGAACTTTGTGAATGTGTTTTTTTTTGCATGCCTTGATGGTGAACGAAGGAGCCAAACATGGACATGAACTCGAGTCACAGGGGACCGCGTTAAACAACAGCAAAACTGGTCAACGGTATGATGTTTTTTGGTGGGCGTCGCTTAGCTGGAGGCAAAACAATTCTCTACAGACATTAGCTAGTGCTAATTAGCTAGTTCTGTTGGCTTGTTTTAGGCAATGGAGGAAGATGATGCATTCAGAAATACTCATTCCAAGTGTCAGAGCGCACTTTGGCACAAACTGCACCGTTCCTAAATTTGAAGCACTGCCTGAATGTACCGTTCGGTTATCCTGAGCACCGCACTTTCGGAGCAGCAGAGCGCACTCCCAGAACTCTGTACGGAGAGACGTAGCAGCAGAGCACTGAGCGGAGTGAATGTGTGATTTACGTAACCATTAGTCAATTTATAAAGGTATATAACGCTCTGTTTCTTCGTCCAACAGGGCTCTTTTTCATGTAGAGCGTCACACTGAATCTACGAACACACCATGTCAGGTCACTCACTCTCCAGAACTGTGAGTGTTACTTGAATAAGTAAAGACTGACCAATGGGACCAGACTGGCCGACGCGTATGCTCTCACTCAGTGGATGGATGATTTGACAGGATGGTCGGCTTTGTGGTTGATTACTGTGCCAATCTTACAAAGAGAGACGACACCTGAACGGTTTCCTACGGTTTGTTTTGCTATTGAAACTAATGTTAGCTAATGTGCTAAAAAGTTAGCGTTACAGAGAAATACAGTATTCCTCTTAACACCTCCCCAATTTCTGATGAGGTGGACATGATAACCCTTAATACGCACAACACTGTTTATCCCTACAACAGGAAATACTTTTTCCCTAACCTGATATGAAGTGTGCGCTGCACATGAGAGCATTTTTGATCATCGCCTCCGTCCAGTCCTTTCGTCTCATCGCATTTAACCATAGTTGTCTTTGTTTTTGTTGACAGGCAGTGGCGGCTGGTATGTAATAAATTTTAAGCTTTGAGTCATGACTCCTTCTATTTTGGCTCTCAATAACACAACAACACGACATTTTAAAAGTCCTACGTAGCCTACAGCCCTGTGGTGGAGAGTCGTGTTTTGCCTCCAGCTAATGAAATGACGTTGTTGTGACGTCGGCCCTAAAAGAGTCTTTATGAAAACATCTGTTTACAAACTCACTTAACTGGTGCAGTTTTACTTATGTAATGTAACATAAAGGATGAATCACAGTAATCTTTAAGTTTACTGTATGCATCAGTGACTTGGATATGTGGCATAACTTCCAACTTAAGCCATTTAAAAGACATTAACATACGTGTCTCCATCCTCATCTTGACGTGTAGCCAGAGTGATAGCAGTCAGCAGGTTTTCAGCTGGGTGGGCCACAGGGTGGTGCGGCTCTGGGACATGGGGTAAACAGTACACTGGGTATGGAACTGAGTGGGAACGACACAGAGAGAAAGAGACAGAAGGGGAGAGTGAGACATAAAAGTCGAGAGGCAAAGAGGAAGAAGAAAAAAAGAAAATTATTAAAATATATATAATAATGGAAACACAGCCCTGACACACAAGCCATTTTCTGTAATAAGGAAGTGTGCAACTGTGAAAGTAGTGTGTGTGTGTGTGTGTGTGTGTGTGCATACTATTCAGTTAGACTGTGAATTGACACAGTGAGCTACTTTTGTCCATGCAGAAGAAAAGCTGCAGAATAGCTGACTGGACATTTTCCCATTGATTCAGCGGCAGTGCTGCATCACCTACAACTCGGCTGCCTTTTCTACCACAGTGTTACAATGTGACCCAACATGTTAAGTAAGGAGGAGCGTGTGCTGTGCTGTGTGTTGCTTAAAACCAAAATAGTGTCATGTACCAAAATAAGATAATTTAGAGAGCCCCTGCAGGTTGTGTCATGATGTTCCTGCATCTCCCACTTAACATTCGCTCAATAGGGTGCACAGACACACATTATGCACATATATATACCCAGCTTGATTATTTTGAACATACAAAATTATGGTTTCCTTAGAAATACAGTGCTATAGATGAAACCTTTGAAGTGTAACAAAGTTCAAAATTCTTCTTATTACATATTTGGGTACAAACACTTAAAGAATATAATAAAAAGGTAAAATAATAGAGTGAATGTTGGCCAGCATGTCTTACCATAATCAAACTGGTGCAAAAAGGGGATGGAATATCTATGTGGACTCTGTGCTGCCTCGTCAACCCGCCTGGGAATCACTGCTGCTCCCAACCTGCCTTCATCCGCGGCTCTCTCCAAACGCCCAGCAAAATCGTCTCGTATTGTGAAGTCCGTTTCTGCCGCAGGGGAAAAGCGGTCTGCGCTCTCTGATGGAGCCGGTGACTGTCTCTGGGTCTCCGGCTCGACAACAAACGGGCGCTTCCTGAAAGGAAGCCTGGAGGAAGATTTGTCCGCTGGCCGTTTGCGAGGAGCACCGGTCTCTGAGCCCGGGACGCTCCTGACCGTGGGACTGTGTATTTCCAAACTGTCCGTCCCTGTGCACGTGGGGGGTGCAGGTGAGCCGTCCGTCACCCGAGCGTCCCTGCTGGTGCAGCTTTTACAGTCCGGAGTCCTCGACCCGGCGCTCCCACGCTCTCGGTTAGTGGTGCGCAGATCCAGCGGCGCGGTGGCAACCGACGGATGGTCACCGTTCATGGTCATGATCCTCGGCATCAACCGGGGGGCGAGGGCGCTCAGGATCTGAAGAAGCTTCAGGTGTGTGCGCGTGAAGAAAACTTGTCGACGTTCAGTGACAGTTTATGGGATCACTCCATCCAAAGTGGCCAATAGTGCGCCTTTCCCATCCCCATGAAATCAAATGGGCAGCGATCAAATCATCAGTTTCCTTTTAGTGTCACTTAAGTATTTTAGATAAGCGTGCAAATGTATTTTCGGAGAAGAGCTAATAGAAGTTTGGTGTAGATAGCCCCTAATGTGTATCCCAGCGCACCTATGGTAACAACTGCAGGTACAGTGCAGCGCTCATCTTTTAATGAACGCACAGTGACACTTGACTGGTGCTTTCCCCAAACTGAAAGCGATTAGCGCTCAAGGGCAAATTACACTGCAGGAAGGAGAAGAGACAACACTTCGTTGAATTCATAATAATTTCTGCATTTCCGACCTCTCTGACATCTGCCTGTTTTGCATTCAAGTTCAAAACAACTAAGGCTGAATTTCTCAAGAAGTTCAAGGATCGATGCTTTTCTCGGTTCGGGTGCTTTGGTCATGTCTCGGTGCAGAAAATGACTCAGTCTGGGTCAATGGCTTTTACTCTTAACGTTTACCCCATCTGCAATTTAATGCACTCTTAATTATTAACATGAATTCAGCTGAATGTGTTCAAAGGCACACTTTTATTTCTTGCTTTGAATGGTTCAGTCATGTTAATAATGAAAGCTTCAGGAATAAATTTAAACGCAGTCAAGATGCCAAATGCAAAACATGCTTTTTCCAAACATGAGGAGCACTTAACATAAACTAGTTTCACACAGCATGAAGAGAAGTCTTTTACAAATACAGTCACCAACGTGTTACTTAATGTAAAGTCTATTTCTTTGCTTTAGTGCAGAAACAAACTGTCCCACTCCCACTTTATAGAGAACGCAACAAGGAAAAGACTTTAACAACATGCAGTCTGCAAAATGATACTGTTATTCTGAATTGGGCGTATTATCATGCTTAAGTCATGTTAATGTCAGATCAGTGTAGAGTAGGCAAACAAAAACAGAAAGGCACTGAAACTTAAACTTCCTTTATGAACTTTTCTGTGCCCTCTTGATGTCATGGAAGGGATTTTTTTAATGTTATTTTGTTCACGTTTCAGTGCCTTAAGTCAGCAGAGAGAACGTTGATTTTCACACCTCAGTCTTGTTATAGAGCAGACAATATTGTCTCAGTTGTGGCACATTACAGCTGATTGTACTTGTCTACAAATGACAGCTTTCTGGTAATAGCTCATAAATAGACTCATAAATGCTCCATGTTCTGTATCAAGTGAACTCATATCACTATGAATAAACAAGACGTAAAAGCTCGTGTAAACTTTATGCTTCACTCTATAATGTTTGACAGTAGTCTCCTTTGGAGGATGCAGATTTTGCGCGTTGCAGTAAATCAGCTACACAGTGTCAGTCAGTTCATCTGTTGCCTCGGGTTGGTCATATGTCACCAAGCTGCAGAATCAGAGCTAAACTTGCACTCCCAAAAGCAGGAATGAGGAGAATAGAAGAAGAATTCAGAGAGAAGATGCCCTCTTCAACAGACTGACTTAATGTCACTGCTGCCCTGTGTGTGGCCATGTTACCACATCACAATACAAACCATAAATGCACGTATAAGCCTGCATATGCACCCACGCACAAATCACACCTCATCTCCTTAACGTTATCCTGAGCCACCCTCAGACCAGGGTCTGATTACCAGGGTCACTTTGGGACTTTCCTCTTTCCACTGAAGTGTGGAGCTGGCAACAGAAAGTCAAGCTTGGTGTCTAAAGTCCCTAAAACACCCTGAGACTATACAAACATGCTCTGCAGCTGTCAAAGCACTCAACCATTATGGTCCCCCCTGGCATTAAGTATCATTGTTTATAAATATATAATTATGGGCCCACCTCTTTAACGGCCAGTCTCAGCCTGAACACACACTCGACAGAGTTCATTGCTTAATGAGTGAGACATTAACTGAGGTTTCACAGTCTTTAAAAGCACATTTATGTACACAGAGAAAACCCATACCCCTTTAATATTTAGGGGTACCATATTTCTGAGACACTGTAGCAGGATAACAATGCAGATCATGAGGTAACATGAGGCCCCCTTGTGCCAGGAGAGCAAAGGTGCAAGCAGCATGCAGCTAGACTCTGAACTAAGCATTTAGAAATACATCTCCAAAATAATTAATCTACATCTGAACAATACAGAGCAAACTACTGCTTTTTGGCTGCTGATTAGTAGCTTTAATATTTGTATTTTACAGCAGGCCGTGGAGCTGTTACTGCAGCATGTACAACTAGAGAAAATCCAGCAAAGTACTTTTGTTGAGTCGTAAGATTTTAAAGTATTTTTAAAGCACATATATGCCCTTCAGTGAAGTTAAATTAAGACGGATTTGGGGGCATTTAAGTGGGTCAAACAGTCATATTTTAGTGGTAACAGTGAAATGGCTAAGCAGTGGTTGAGTTAGTGTCTCCCTCTTGTGGATGTTGAAGCAGAGGTTGTTGGTTTACTCAGTCTAATGGTGCAGATTGTGTGCTATGCTGGTGCCATGTGATGTTTTAGTGGCACCACAGACACAAGAAATAATCATGACAAATGTATCCTTTACTGAAGGTATTTAGACATTAGTAATTTATCCATTGCAATCCTGAAAATACCTGATGATTTGTACCCTATGTATGTCCCACATAAAAATAGCCTTCAAGTTCTGGACGCAAAGTATCTGGCTTGTGGGTGTGGGGTTTTAGTAGTTATCACTCTGTGGCTCAGCACCCAAATTTATCTCTGACATGCTTGTAACATATGAACCTTCTAGTACCCTGAGTAAATCTGGGGCCGACCTCTTGACCATCCCAAGAGCCAGAACAAAACACGGCGAGGCAGCATTTTATCATGCAGCACAAACCTGGAATAACATCCCAGATGATGTTAGACAAGCCCTGACTCTGACCTCTTCTAAGTCAAAGCTAAAAACCTTTTTTACATTGCCTTCTTCAACCTGTAATGACTGCGACCTTGTGTTCAAACTCAATTTGAAATCATTTTGAATAATCTTTTTATCTTTGCACCTCTTGTCTGCACTTTAATTTTTGATTTTTTAAAACTGTAAATCATTTAGTATTGAATTGACCTTTAATATCTTTTTTCTCTTCACTATTTTCTGTATGCTATATTGTGTTTTATATTTTATTGCTCTGTAAAGCACATTAAATTGCTCTTGTGCATGAAATGTGCTATACAAATAAAGCTGCCTTTCCTAGCAGTGCACTGACTGTTGATAGAAATCATACAATCTGCAGCCTTCTTCTTATGTCTTTTACACATTAGTATATAAAAGATATGAAAAAGTTCTTCACAGTAAGACATTTACATGTTTATAGTTTATGTACAGGTAGTTAATAACCCATGAAACAAAATCAAATTGACTTTTAAAAACTTTTGTAAAGCCATGCTAGCTTGCTGCTCTGTGAGGCTGCACATAGCCACAGTGGTGCTTTGAGCTAAAAGCTAACGTTAGCGTCAGAGACTGTATGAAAGATAAATAAGCTTTTGAACAGTTTGGGGTCAACGTGCTGGCATTCCCAAAATCGCAATGGTAACACACGTAGGTAAAAAGTAGGTAAAATCTTTACCACGGTCACCATCTTGTTATTTTAACGGCTTTGCCAATGTTTAGTGTATTAGCATGCTACCTAGTGTATTAGCTAACTAGTGTATTAGCATGCTATCTAATGTATTAGCTAACTAGTGTATTAGCATGCTAACAACTGTATTAGCTAACTAGTTTATTGGCATGCTAGCAAGTGTATTAGCTAACTAGTGTATTAGCATGCTAACAACTGTATTAGCTAACTAGTTTATTGGCATGCTAGCAGGTGTATTAGCTAACTAGTGTATTAGCATGCTAACAACTGTATTAGATAATTAGTGTATTAGCATGCTAACAAGTGTATTAGATAACTAGTGTATTAGCATGCTAACAACTGTATTAGATAATTAGTGTATTAGCATGCTAACAAGTGTATTAGCATGCTAACAAGTGTATTAGATAATTAGTGATTAGCATGCTAACAAGTGTATTAGAGAACTAGTGTATTAGCATGCTAACAGCTGTATTAGCTAACTATTGTAGTGACATGGTAACAACTGTATTAGCTAACTAGTGTATTAGCATGGTAGCAAGTGTATTAGCTAACTGGTGTATTAGCATGCTAGCAAATGTATTAGCTACCTGGTGTATTAGCATGCTAACTATCAAATTAGCAGAAAACAAAGTACAGTCGAGAGCCGAGGCAAATGGAAATGTCATTGGTTATACTGGTACTTGGTCTTAGAGCAAGATATAGACTAATAAAAAGTTTGACCCGACGATGGCGCTGAAGGAAAGGTTATGTAATCATGAAGTAAAGTTACCTGAGAGTCCATGACAGGTCAGAAACCTGCAGGGCCACACTGCTGTCCTGGTTGAGGAGTCATACACTTAGAGGTAAGAGGGTCCCACATGATAAGCATGATTTTAAACAGATGTTCGTTATAAATATGTTCATAACATTATTTAGCTTCTTTGTTTGAGTGTTTCATTCTGAAATGCAATATAGGCTACTTTACATTTTAAAAATGTTGATAAATAGGCTAACTCCATTATTAAATGCTTCATTTATTCAAGATAATGTCCTTTGATACCATTGGGACAACTTAATACTGTTTAAATTAGTGAGTAATCTGTCATTTGACAAGAGTCATGTATCTTACATGTAGGCCTAACATTTCTGTCAAACACAAAGTTCAACTGAGAGAGATGGGAGGGCAGGTGGGCAGGTGTAATATTTGATCAGAAACCAAAATGAAAGAGTTTTGACCTGATGATGGTGCTAAAGGAAAGAGCCACCTAAGTAATAACAATTCATCCTTTGTGGGTCTCAAATGTGCATATTAAAGGTCTAGTGAGTACAATAGGGGCATCTAGTATTCATAACTGTCTTTTTATTAGTTTATAATGACCCCAAAATAATCACTGTTGTGTTTTCATTACCTTAGGATGAGTTGATTAGTCCATATGGAGCGGGTCCTCTCCATGCCCCCAGGAACAGCGCCAGGTTTAAAGCCAATGTTACGTAGTAGCCAAATGTGGAATTTCAACTTACGGGTCTGTAATGGATGCTATTGGGCCCAAAAAGACTTCTTCCCATGAACTTACATTGTGAAAAAATGTCTCTAAATCATTTGATTTTGATGAAAACCATACAGAAGACATAGAAGTGGTAAAATACAACCATCAAAATTGTCAATACATTTTTAATACTAGAATTCAGAAAAATTTCACTTTATAAGTATTCAGTAAAATTTAAATCTGAAGTAACTGGTATACCAACGGCATGAACAATGGTTTCATTGATAAATAATTTTGTAGATCAAATGATTTTGACAGCAGAGCATTTCTAAGTCTCTTTTTGTACAAAGACAGCGACACAGATGAATCCAGTGAATTAACATTTTCATTCCATAAAACAGCTCCACACTATTCGAAAGAAAACTGACCACGAGATGTTTTATACAAAGGAAGATGTCTAGTTGTGTATTTGATCCATTCAGTCCAACAACATGTCTAACGTCTTGAAAAGCTGCGCAGTTGAACCATTTTATCCCTATTCCCTATTGGGGCAGCAGCTCTTTCCATAGGGACTTGGCTTGGGAACCAAAGGGCTGCCTGCTCAAGTCCCCATTAGGGATAGACCGATACCGATTTTTTTCCATCACCCTTAGCCGATGACCGATTATGGACTGCCGATTTTCTTGAGCCGATATTTGGGGCTGATACTGCTTTTGCTCCCTCAATTTACATCAAAAACATTAAACACGGATAACAAATATTACAGGTCTCAAGTTTAAAATAAGAAACATTTATTGAACAGTAAAAAATACTAAAACAAGATGGAAAGTTGAGGTAGAACAGGTAGAATATTATTATTATTATTATACATTCAAATAAAAAAAAAAGAGTTCAGTGCTCTTAAATCTTCCAGTAATGTCTTTATAAAATAAACAAATATTTAAGCTGAAGCATAAATAAAACAACAACTACTGTACACAGTAGGATTCGCTGCATGTGCACTGCAGGGTCTTCCGGCAACACAGAGCTGCCCATGGATGCCTGTCTGTAAATCATGCCAGGGAAAAATAAATCCGCGAACCAACGCACGTATCGGCCGATGCTGATACAAGTAAAAAACTCAAATATCGGCCCGATATATCGGCCGGCCAATGTATCGGTCTATCCTTAGTCCCCATACAAACCCAGTATGGAGGACTGGTAGCTGGAGAGGCACTAGCTCACTGCCAAGGAGCCCCCAAGCAAGGCTGTGTGTATATGAAAACAGAGCGGGGGCAAAAAATTGAATTTCCCCTCAGGGATTAATAAAGTCTATCTAAATCTATTCAAGTTACCAGAAGGCTAAACCGGAAGATAGCTGCTTAGCTGGCGGCAGTCTCTAGAGCGCTTGTTCTATGGGAATGCGGAATGAATGGGTAATTGTACACACAGGAAGTCAAACTTTTTTGGCTTCATGTTCCTTTCATGCCAACTCCATGGCAACTTTCATAGGAATGAACAGGGCCCTGCCTCCAATGCTGCGTCTAGTTCTCTTTATACATCCATGGTCTTCTCCCATAGAATCTGCCATGTTGCCATGGGCTACAGTAGCCCAACAGATAGTTGCATAGTTCTCCTACATGCTCTTTAGTTTCAGTACTGCAACCTCACAACTAGATGACACTAAATCCTACACACTAGACCAGTGGTTCCCAACCGGTGGGTCAAGGTCCAAAAGCGGGTCGCTGGTTCATTCTGAATGGACCACAAGTGACTCCTAAAGGTGTCAGGTTCATAAAGAAGACACTTTATTTTGAAGTACGGTGAATTTCTGGCACATATCTTTTATTTTGAAGTGCCATTTCCTGTTGTGGAGTAATTGACTAACGGACAGCTACTTGACAGAGACAGCAAACTAGCTCGACGACCTGGTCAAACACAAGTATGACACTAAATATAATAAACTGTGTGGACCTTGAACTAATGACTAACGCAATTTAATGGCAGTAGTTGAGACATAAATAAATAAAAATAAATAAAAACTTCACGGTGACACTAGAGTAAAAGCCGCAGGATCACAAAAGTCATTGGGATTCATCCTCTGGGGAACATGAATATCTGTACACAATTTCATGTCAATCCAACCAACAGATCTTAAAATATTTCAGTATGGAGCAAAGTACTGACATGTGACAATACCCATTTAACTTCACAGTAAACATTGCTCCCTGCTGGCAGTCAGGTGAAGATGATAATTCTTTTTATATCCAAACTGTTGGAGTTGCTGACCATTGAACTTTGCTTTGAGGCATCCTGTCTGTTAGTAGGCAGTCCACCTGTATTACGTGTCACTCAGGTCTGACGCACTGCTTTCATTCTTAGTAAATGTTTAATTTTGAGTTCACACCTCCCTGTCTTCCTCCCTCCCATTTCTCTCTCTGTCTCTCTCTCTCTGTCTCTCTCTCTCTGCTTGCCTGCCCGAGCAATAGAGCAAAGAAAACAAACCTGTTTGGCTGGCTGTAACCAGGAAACCAATCAAAGGGTGCACCAAGAAGAGAGAGAGAGAGGGTGACATCAAGAAAGAGAGACGAAGAAGAAGCAGCTGCATTTCAGCCAATGACAGAGGACATGTTTCCACTGTGCTGTGAGTAGATGTCTCTGCTCTGTTGACCCTGACAGTGTGGGACTGCTGTGCTGCTCAGATGTGCGCATGAATATTGGTAAGTGTGCTGAACTGGGGGTAAGACAGGCTGAATGTGGAGGGGTGGAGGGAGCTGGGATGGTAGAAGTTGAAACTGTTTCAAGGGTTCAGTATCAGTGTTAAGCCCTTGTTTCCTTTGTTTTCAGTTGACTCTTTCTCATGCTCGGCCTCTTGTGCTGTCTGACTCTTAACAAAAACAGCTTGTGTGTAACAGACCTTAATTTCTGTATTTTTCTGAAGATCTGACAGAGGAATGAGAGGCAACAAACGGACCGGAGTGGCTGTTTTGGGAGGAAATACATAGCTTTGAGTGCATTTTTAGAGATGCCTTATTTGTACATGCTATACACTGTTAGAAAATGTAGTGCTGTTGGATTATTGTTATATGGCTCAAGGGTGGATGCTGTTTGAGGAGGCTAAGATGTGTGCTTTTCTACTGAAGCTTGGAAGTCACAGAAGTCATCGTAAGGACAATAAAAGTCAGCTTAAACACTCAAAAACTTGAGCCAGTATGAATAGCTGCTCCTATTTTCGCTCCTAGAAATTCACTTATACAAACGAGAGCTTTCACACCTTTTAGAAACTGTAGGACTACCGTTATTTATCGTCACGCCCCCTCGCATGCAGACAGACTGACATTTAAGGTCACTTTTGATTCACATCACTTCACAACAGCTGAATGATGGCGGAAGCAGGTTCAGGAGCCTCCCTGAGCCCGAAGTCGAGCTCCCAGCCCCCTACAAGTGGAGACCAGCGGTTGGTGGACAAGGCCCTCAAGAGACTGGAAAAGCTCCATGAGCTGTGCACTAACCCCCGGCTGGGCCTGAGGAACAGTCCGCCATACCTGCCGGAGCTGGTATCTGAGACGACAACACTGTTAACGAAGGTTTGGGAGCCCTACCGAGGCCCCAGGGCGGGCAGCCAGGTGCCACGAGGAGATGAGGCCAAGTACCTGAGGGTACATGTCAGAAACCTGCTGGATAAGACGGACAGGGCCGTACTGCTGTTTAAAGAGGGACGGGAGAAGATATTCGAGGAGACATCCAGTTACAGGTAAGAAGGCCCCTGGCTAACATACATCTCAAGATAAAGACACATGACATTCTTAAGCTTCTGTTCTTGAAGTGTTTCCTTCCTTTTTAACGTAAATCACAATAAGTAATCAGTCATTTTTTAAGAGTTGAGTCACAATTTTCTCATTTTGAAATACCAAAAAATTTTAGTTGCGTTAGATTAATTCATCATCAAATATTTATTCAATAATCAAGCAATCATTTAAGTCATTTGTCCAACCAAAATGCCAAAATGCTCTGCTTCCAGCCTTTTAAATGTGAGAAATATTGTAAATTAAATATCTTTGGGTTTTGGACTGTTGGTCGGAAAAAAAAATAAGACATTATCTTGAGCTTTTTGTTATCTTGGGACACTTCAGTGATCAATTGATTAATCTAACAGATAATCTACAGCAGTGGTTTTCAAACATTTTGTGGCCAAGCCAAAATCTCAACACGCCTGTATTTATATCTGTGCACATTAGCTTCTATAACATGTGTTATCACTCTTATCATGACATAAGACAATAAAAAAAGGAAATAATAAGACAAGTAGCTTTCATGATACTGTCTACTGCCATTTTTGTCTCTTTTCTTTCGATGGTAGGTCGTCTTCGCTGGTGCTTTGTTGTAATTTGCTCCGCACAATAAAGCGAGTCATTGTCCCGCTCATGGCTTTCTACTTTTAGATATTATCATCCCTCACATTGGCTGCCAATCAGGGCTTTTGATGTGTCACACACTTGTAATTCCCATGTGTGAATGGTGACAAATAGGTTTGCGGTGAAGGGTTTATAAATTCAATTCAATTAAAGTACATTTTTTAGCTAGAGTTTGCCTCTTTATTAGGAAATGGTTGCACACAACATACTGATACAGTCAATTAAAAATTCATTTATAAGTTTTTGTATAGGCCCAGTTGAATATTGCGATAATAATGTCTGGTTATCACAAAATCCCACGGCACACCTGGAATGGCATCACGGCACACCACTGATATACAGATTAACTGATAATGAAAATAAATGTTGCTTTCAACCTGAAAGCTCATATTTTACTGTTTTTAAAGGGTTCATGCAAATAAAAAAGAAAAAAAATCTCTCTTTCCTGAAACACGATCCAGCCATTTTTGTTTTATTTGCATGTTTTTAGATGTCTATCTTTGGTTTCTGCCGCCACCGCACTGTACAACAATGAACAGTCTGAAAAAGATGAGTGCTCACAGCATTAAAACATGATATGTAAAAATATCAACAGCATTTATTTCCAGAAACAAAATCCCCATAACTCTAGATAATTACTCTGTGGATTATACAATGTAATGGAGAAACTTCCTCTGCAACTAGATGCTTATTTCAATCTTTAATTAAAATTCTGTCCATTCAAACTCACTCAATCAAAATGCCCAAGAACTAAAAACAAAATAAAATTCAAACTATCTTACAAGGCCAGGTACCACCCGACGTAACCAACTATTTACGGGTATGCTCATATTGTGGTCACCATTTTCTCTACAACTCAACCGGATCATGTTCTCAAACCGAAAACATGATCTTTCTCCAGATGAATTCCTCTGTGTAAACTGACTGTTGGGTCAGGGAGGGGCCACACATCCCTCAAATCTTTATCCGGTACCATGGGACCGGGGTTCGGGCTGTTTGCTCAGCTTGTGCACTGTAAAAAAGTACAAGAACCCAAAAATAGTCTTCTGGAGTCATAACCTAGTACATGAGAGTTATGATAGAGGCGACCCTCCTTTTCAACACCAAATTAAATGAACTGAAATAACTATGTTACACTATCTATAAGGAGCTGCAGTTAAAATGAAATAACTTCCGCAGTTCCCACAAGTCAAATATAGGCTTTATTGTGTGTCGGGGGAAAAGAAACGACCACGTCCTGTAAGTTTGCTGTTTGGCTAAAGTGGATAATTTGGAGCAGCTTAAAAAGAGTGACTTTTTTTGGGGGCTGCGTCCGCTGCTCCTGTCAGGACTACTAATGACGAAGGTGGAAAAAGGGCCAAACCTGCGTCTTTGTGATGCTAATGTGGAGGAAACTTGGCAAACGCAGTGACAGGCTCAGTATGTGAACAGCTTGGGAGAGAGGCTGTCTGGCATTGAACACACATTTTTCTTTCTGTGTATGTCCATATAGTTGTCTCCACAGGGTGTACACAAATATCCACTTTTTTTTACTGTATCTTTTAACCTGCACGTGGCCTTAAAATCAGGACTCGGTGACCTCTCAACTGCTCTGCTGTACTCAATATCAATACTGTGACGAGACTGTAGTGCTGACTATTAATGCTTTACAAAATATTTAAAGAAAAATGTGGATATAATGACTAATTGGGTGAAGACAAATAATAGAACAGCTAACTGTCTGGTAAGTTCAGAAAATTACATAATTTTACCATAAAGCAGCCTTTAAAACCAGGAAAAGACAACACTTACATAATGATGCCCAGAATATATGAGGTTATGTAGTCTCATATCACAATATCAATATAGTCTGAATATATTTTGCAGCTCTAGCTTTACTTACTGCAAATGAATCTCGACACTTTACAGTATTTAGGAGGGACTGGACCTGAATACATTGTGCTAAATGAGGCTTTTACTGTGATTAAGAGCAGCAGGTAAAGTTTTAACAACCAGCGTGTCAGAATAGAACGTTTTTATTTGAGTTTTTACTCTAAACTCTTGATGTTTCTCAGTCGTCACTGTCCATATATCAATCTATTGATCCATCGATCCATCAGTCCATCTATCCGCCTATCTATCAATCTATCTATACAAAATTAACTTATAAATTATGATGCTTTATTAAAGATTAAGGGCTACGCGTACACAGACAGGTGTCAGTAATGAGGCTAATATTCAGACATACCTTAAAACTTGAGTTAGTTCCTTTTACTAGCCTGGTGTAGCCACATATTTTGACAAATAAACGGCTGTCTCAATTAGACGCTTGGTCTGGTTGCCGGATGTATAAAACTGGGTTGTTGGCTACCTCAAATTATGCGTCCATTCCTTGATTACCCTGTAAGTTATTCATTTTCCTTTAGTCCGTAAGGGTCCTCAGATTAAAAGAATCACAAGGGTTTGCTGGGTGCCTTTATATTTGAGTGTCGTAACTCACTCTCTCTCTGATGTCTGTTAGAGCTAGATCAAAAGAATGATTCACAACTGATGTATTATGTGAAGCCTAATTTTTAAAGACGTAATATTCATACTGGTTTAAACGCACAATTTGATTCGATTTCCAGATATTTGCTGAGCAAAACTTTTGTGTGAGGGGAATTAAAGGTCTGTCCCAAATATACACCCATTGAGTTCAGTGATTCAAGCAAATAATAGCCCCTGCTTAAGTTTTACAGTATTCAGACATATGCAGGTTGGAGCTGTGCAAAGCTAAGCAGGGATTTACATGAAGTCACTATACGATGGACAAAGTTGTACTTTTTTTAAGATTATTTTTTCAGGGCTTTTTGCCTTTAATGGACAGAGACAGGGTGAAATGGGGAGAGAGAGAGAGAGAGAGAGAGAGAGTGAGAGTGAGAGTGAGAGTGGGGGGATGACATGCAGAAAGAATCGCAAGCCAGAGTCGAACCTGCAAACCTGCGACCGCGATGATTCGCCTTTGTATATGGGGCACACTGGCACTATCCACTACACTATCGACGCCCCATAGTTGTACCTTTAACTCCACCACATTTGTCTGTTTTACTGTTTATGCCCTTTCTGTCCAGCGAAAACCAGGTGTCTCTAAATCTGGTGATTAGTATATGAAATAGTTAAACTTAGCATAACCTTGAACATCTATAGCAGTAAAATGCAACATAGACATGAAAGCAGCATTAATATTAATCCTAAAACATCTTATGTAATAGTAAAACACTGACAGGGAGCATTTTACTACACAATCACCCAGTCAGATTCAGTGTGTTGAGGCCCCGCTGAGCTCTAATCTGCATACAGATCCCTCTCTGCTCTACCATACAACATACACTCATAGTATGTAAATTATAGATTTTATTAAAGATTTCATTCGAACATCTGATAAGGCCATATTTGTCATCTCGCACACACAAGATAGCAGATGGCCACTTCACCACAGCCCGGTCTGCATGGGCAGTCATGTGGCAAATTCACATAGTGTTATGTGTCATGTGGCTTCGATGTCACAGCAAATTGCGTAAATATCCTCTTTTATGTTTTTTAAAACATTCTGCGATAATGTCATCTTATTTTGCAGCTCGTCAATCCACAGACTCAGATAGGTACTCCATCTGCGTCTAATAACACTGACTGTTGGATGGTTTTAAGTTAAAGTCTGCATTTAGTGGGTGAAATTTCAATCATGTGAAGCTAAAAAGAGAACTGAGATAAGACTGATGGTGGAGGTGACAGAAGCAGGGGAAGGTTTGAGCGGCTGGAAGGTTATTGTCTGTGACAGATGGATGGCTTTGACTGGAATTTATGAGGCACATGCAAATGTGCAAACTGCGCTAATCATATGACTTGAACTGTGAGCAGAAACAACATAAGAAAAACACATGCACTTATTAGTCAATGACATAATAATCAGTTAAAGATGAAAACTAATCTTGAATGAAATGAAAATGAAATGAAAACTGTCCTAAGGCGCGTAATTTTAACACTGGCAAATATTTGATCAGCACTAAATATCTTAGTGTTCTCATCATGTTCAGGGTGTGGTTTTTAAATGTTAATTTACACTTACAATATTTAGTAATTTCAACAATTTTGCAAACAAACACTGACAATAGATCTCAGTGGATTTTAGGACGCAGAATTGATTTAAATGTAGAAAATATGAGCATTAACATTCAAGGTGAGGGTCATTCAGAGACAGCTTTAGGGTCTGAGACATGCTGCATCTGAGAGGCTGTCACTAGTGTATGAAAGTGGTACACAGCTACATATAAATACGTCGAGCATCAACAGTCAACCTAACCGAGGATTACCGTTATGCAATGCACTGTCCGGCCTCGCTGCCGCACACAATATCATAGCCAAAAACATCTGCGCTGGTGTGTTTGCTCTAAATTTACCCACCATCTTTCTTTTTCATGATATTTTTATGTATGCGAGGCCAGCCAGAGTGAGAGATGTGGCTTACACATTTCCTCCCACGTTACCCTCCCTTCCTCAGCACCGTAGAGGTTTTCTTTTCCTCAGTGAGGTGGAAATTCTATGACCACCACCCACATGATCAAATGTCCTCTTATGAGTGTTGAATCACTGGAGGAATCTGCAGAAGGTTTCCAGACGTGCTTCGAAAATGTCTCACAAAAGAGGAGATGAGAATTTACTGCCTGTATGAAATTGTGTGATTTTAACAATAGTGGTATTACTGTAGATTGTGTGTTTTTGAAATGAGTCTAAATTCAAAAAGGCAACATACATTTCAGCACATTTTAGTGTTTTTTAAGTGTTTTTTATTTCTTAAAGTGGCGTATAGTGGAGTAACTTTGATGCAGTTAAGTTAAGGTAAAAAGTTAAAGTCCTCCTTCAGTCAAACATGTATTTTGTGCATTGTCGCTTCACTTGAAAGTTTGACCTTTGCTGAGCAGAACAGTCTCTTCAGTGAAGCAATAAACACCTTGTCTTCCTAGTTAATTGAACTTTTTTTGTTTGAAACCACATCAGTGATTCACATCAAAGTCTTTTAATATGTATTATGTAAAACATGTCCGGAAAGAAGCTTTAAAGATACTTCAAAGACAAAGTGATGCAATTTTACTTGTTTTGCGTCATACAGTTTGTTGTTCAAGAACATTTTCTGCTGGTGTTACAGTAGATTAAATTAATTTTGAGCAGTTTTAATTACGTTTTAGTGTGGGATTACCTGTGGCACCAATCTGCATGTTGGCAGAGGGTAAAATGTTTTTTTAAAAATAATCTCTGAGTTGAGAAATGCGCAGAAACTATTGCCAAAAATAAATAAATCAAATGTTTTAAATGACCCTAGAAGAGAAAGTGAGAACAGTAACTGGTAAAAAGTGGCCTGAAGTGACACACTGGCCACTGGAACGTTTTGTGGTATTTACAAACGAGCATGCAGCAGAGAGCATCCTGTTTGCTAGCTGGACCTGTTGTGTGTGTGTTTGCAAGTGTGTGTGAGTGTATCTATGGAAAGTATCAGCGTGCTAGTGTCACCTTAAATGAAGCAGTAAAGTGTCAAAGGTACAGTCAGCGCTACATGTGTGTCCCCTAAAAGCAGCTGTAGAATTGTATTTTATTTTATGTTTCCATTTTTACACAGTCTATTCAGAGCCAACTCCCAGTGTTTACCACAGTAGTCACCTCTGAACATGCTCGTCTTTTTTCACACCCATGACTTCACACACCTACATGGCAAGTTGGAGTCTTAACTCTAAGCTGGTGATACTTTATGCAAAACTTTAAGCAAACAAGTTTTCAAATAGTCACACAGATGGATAGCAAAAGAAGATTTTTCTGCAGATATGAATGACGCAGGTCTCTGACACTTTGAGCTGTTGGAATATCATAAAGAGGTGGGTGAGGTGAGGATTATGAGTCTGGGGCAAATGTATTATTGGCCCACAAGATGGTTTCATATGTTTCGGGGTTTTTTTTTTCCAACACCACAGGACCAGAAAATGTTGACATGCCCGAGGAGAGTTTACCTTTCTATCTATTTCTGCAACCACAACTGAAAGTCTGCTGTGTTCTTCACTCTCAGGAGGAACTTGACCAAGCTGTCCCTGCTGTTCAGTCACATGCTGTGGGAGCTAAAGGCCATGTTTCCAGGGGGTGGTTTTCAGGGCGACACCTACAGGGTGACGAAGACAGAGGCAGAGGAGTTTTGGATGCGATCATTTGGAAACAAGTGAGTGCGGGGAATTTTCATAACAGGACTTTTGTTGTTGATTTGTGCGTTTCAGGTGTGTCCACATTCGCTACATGCTAATAATGTGTTGTGACAGGTGTATAGTGCAGTGGAACACTTTCAAAGAGCAGCTGCGGAGTGTACATGCATTCGAGGAGGGGATGGAGTCCATGGCTCTGAAGTCAACTATAGATCTCACCTGTAACGACCACATCTCTGTGTTCGAGTTTGACATCTTCACCAGGCTCTTTCAGGTAAGGTGACACATTCCAGTCGAAGGTTATGAACTGATTATTCAAAGGAATTGTAAATACAGTTAGTCGCTTCCTTGCCAAGAGTTAGACAAGAAGATGGATACCCCTGTCATATCTGTACAAGAAATATGAAGCTGCAGATGGTTATCTTATCTTAGCATAAAGAGTGGGAGCAGGGGAACAGCTAGCTTTGCTCTGTGTGAAGGGAACACAAAAATCCACCTACCAGCAACTCTAAAGCTCAGTTATTAAAGTGTTGTTTAATCAGAGCACTAATGTGTAGAAGGAACAAGTGCAGGGGGGAGGGGGGGTGTTAATCTTATGATTCCTTTTATTCTATTCTTGTTTATGCTATTAATTGATTGAATTTCACACTTACAGCCTCAGCACAGTGACGATATATCTTTTATTTTTAATATTTTATTTATTATTTTATCTTAAGTTCTAGTGTTAAACACTGCAGCTTAATGCACATTCTATTATTTATTTTTTTTATTTTAATGTATATTTTCATTTCTACTTTATTTTATTTTACTTTATTTTATTGCTTTTTATTTATCTATTTCACACTCTTATTCTTACTTCTTATAATTCTCTATTCTTTACATCAGAGTGACTGTAACAAATCACAATTTCCCCTCGGCAATCAATGACGTATTTCTGATTCTGATTCTGAATCAGATTCAAAACTCTACAGCACTATATACAGCACAAATTTAATGCCTGTTCCTTATTTTGCAGCTCGTTTTTATCTGCTGGTTTAATGTCTGAAGGTCAATTTATCCCAGAACCCATATATGTGTCTATGTTTTTTACTTTCATTTGGTTCATTTTTATGCTCCATAAAGTGACTTTGGGTGTTTTAAAAGGCGCCTTTTAAATGTATTATTATATTGATTATGAGTTATTGCCAGATCTCGCAAGAGTGTGTTGCTAAAACCAAGACATGTCTCCGACAAAGTTAATTTTCTCCTTATTTGTCAATCTGGGAAAAAATGAGTGTTAAGTGGCGAAACCCTCGTGGCACAGATACAGGAAATGAATCTAAAGTGGGTCATCTCGGTTTATCGGCGGTCTCTGGTGTGGCACAGTGATTTCATGAAAGCTGGCAACCTCACATTGATGATAAGACTCCAAGAAGTCACTGTGCTCCAGCTAAGTCATTTTCTCTCTCAGTTTTCGTACGATTTTAAATAAACAAGATATGGTGTGCTGACTCATGTGTTTAGGAGGAGCTGGTAGGCAGATTTAATTACGGTCAGAGCCAGGCTAGCTGTTATTCCACTGTTCTCAGACTATGCTAAGCTAAGCTAAACTAACTGGGTCTAGCTCCATATTTAGGATACAGACATGAGACAGATATCTTCTGATGTACAACGAGAAATGGGCACTCAGTAGACTGCTGATCTCCACCAGGCGGCCACCCGAGCTGACCATAGGCAGTCCAGCAGACACAGCTTGTTTCAGAAGCTTTCCAAAAGCTAATAAAAATATCTATTTTGGATGGAGCTGTGGTACATCACTCTGAGGAGATCGAGTTCTCCTGCTAACAGGCACTGTATGCGAAATATAGATAGCCTACGATGTAATTATGAGGATTATTGTATTTTCTATAACTAAAACACAGCCACAAATCTTTGATCTATGTCATTCACAACTGCACTTTTAAGGCTATTAACCATGTCTGTAGGTGACAAACTATAAACACAATTAAAACAGAAACCATTTAACTATGTTGCCCACTTACTTACTTATATAGAAGTAAAAATATCAAGGAAAAACTGCCAAATCAACAAAAGCTGCAGTCTACAAAATCCAGAAGGCAAAACGCTCCGCTTCTGAAATGTCCCTGGTGTGGTATGACCCTGTGCAGCGGACAAAACAAAACCCGGAGGCAACCTGCAACCATGACAGGTCCTTGAACATACAGTCATACATGTGCACACAAAGTATTAGGCTGATTGGTCCAGTAGTTTTTAAGATTAGCTGCAGACAGACAGATACACACACTCGCACATGACCAAACACACAATCCCTTTCAGGCTTATGTCTGGCGGAGGTTATAACTCTTGGCAACAATATTTCCCAAAATGTTAAACTATTCCTTCAATGATGAAACATCCTTTCCTGTCTCCTCTCCTCCCCTCTCCTCCCCTCTCCTCTCCTCTTATCTCATCTCAGCCGTGGAGGTCAATCATAAGGAACTGGAACCAGCTCGCCGTGACTCATCCAGGCTACATGGCCTTCCTCACCTACGACCAGGTTATAGCTCGTCTTGAACACTACCTGCACAGACCCGGGAGGTGAGGACAGGCACAGCACAAGCTCTGACTGATGTACTTCCCAGAGAAGCAAAGCTGATTTATGTCACACCTATCTCAAAACTCAAAATAGCACAGCTGAGGTTGTTGAGTGCTCGAGTTCAAATCTGGCAATTGATCCAGGCTGTAAGAAATGAGGTCCTTGAAGCAACACAGAACCACAGCACTCCAACTTTAAGTACCTGGCTGTTCATTAGCGGAAAGGGGAATTCATTACTTTTTAATCTATTTTGAAGTACCATGAGCTTTTGGCATTTTTTTCGTCAAACCTAAGCTTGCAAGGTTTCCATCTACCTTTCAAGAAATGTCCTTGTTGAGCCCAGCTCCATGAAATTATGTAGCTAAACAATAAGCAGGGTCCAAGGTGTCATGCAGTTGGTCTCAGTGGTGGAAGAAGTACTACAGAAGTACAACAATGTCAAAATACTCAGAGCCCTGCATTCAAAATCATACTGTAGTAAAAGTAGACAAGTATTTGCTGCAAAATAAACTTACGGCACTAACACACCAAGTCAAGAGGCATCTGTCGTCCTAGCTTTGGTGGTGTGTCCCAAACCATTGGTACTACTCCGCCCCTGTCAGCTGTTTCTCAGCAATCCAGCAGGTTGAATCAGTATCAGACCAGCACAAAAAGAGAAACACAAGTGAGGGAAGCAATGTATCTTTTTATTGACTGATTTGTTTAACAGAAACAGTTTGTAATCTTTTGTGTTTACTAGTGCAGGGTAAATATCCTTTGTTCTTTCAACATCGGGTTGTGTTGTTAATGTGCTAACTGGCTAACTAGCGTCTTTAATCCCTCCTGTCAGTCTTCTGGTTCCCCTTTTTTAAATGACAGATACAGACAACTGTCGTCTGCATGTGTGGAGAGTTATTTTCTCTCACACAGGCACAGAACACACATGCACGCTGGCTGTTAGCTGTAGTCTTTACGATGCATTCAAGTGCAACTTTTTGGCCGAGACACAGGTGACATGAGGCAAAGCAACAGTGGGCCTTTGTTCCCACTAGTTCTTTGATGTCGATTTGGTGTGTCTGGGCCTTTAAAGTACCGAAAGTAAAAGTAGTCATAATGCAGAATGGTCCATTTCAGAGTCATATACATGTATTATTTCAAAGGATAATAATTATTGATGCATTAATGTGTTCATCATTTTCATGTTGCAGCTGGTGAATGTGAAGCTGATAACCTATAGTATTACATCAAAATTTATTAATTGACCTATATTTTTATTGACTTATTTTTTGTATCAATAAAAAAAATAGAAGTAAAAATACACTTTAATAAATATATAATATAATACAATCTAATCTAATCATATGTTTATACTCTGCATATATACACCGATCAGCCAAAACATTAAAACCACTGACAGATGACATGAACAGTACTGACCGTCTCGTTACAATGCCATGCTCTGCTGTGAAACCTTTGGTCCTGGCATTCATGTGGATGCCACTTGAAGCACTTCAGTCATCCAAACACCACTGCAGACCAAGTCCCCCCCCCTCATGGCAATAGATCTCCTTGATGGCAGTGCCAGAAATGGCTCGAGGAACATGACAAAGAGTGCAAGGCATCAACCTGGCCTCCAAATTCCCCAGATCCCAATCTGATCGAGCATCCGTTGGACGTGCCAGTACCCCACTCCACAACTGCCAGGTCTCAAAGGATCCAACGCCCCAGTGCTAGACTCCAGTGTGTCAAGTGGTATCCACATGAATGCCAGGAGCCAAATGTTTCCCAGCAGAACATTGCACTGTAACAAGATGATCAATGTTATTCACTTCACCTGCCAGTGGTTTGAATGTTTTGGCTGATCGTGTATATGTAGAAGCATAAAGACGCATTTTGGTATTTTTTGTTGCCTTTTTTCCTTTGTTGCTTTTTCTCTCTTTGCTATTCTATTTAAAATGACTGATGGAAGAGGGGTAGACAGAGGAATATGTAAGTGTAGACATGAATCTGTAAATACACAGAAGAACAACTAAGCAAGGATATGCCCATGTGGATGTAAGGGATTGGAGTATAGTAAGGAATAGTAACCTTTTTGTTTTTATATTTAAAAAAAATTGTAAATAAGACAGAAAAGTGTCTGATGCAGAGCAAGTCCATGGCCCCAATAAAAAGAGAAGTATAAAGACGAATAGAATGGAAATAACAATGTAAAGTACAAAGGGAAGTATCTGAAAATCGTAATTAAATACAGTACTTGAGTAAATGTACTTACAGTAGTTAAATTCCACCACTGGTTAGTGTACATTTATGTATGCTATAGCATCAACATTACAAACCAAAGCTCTATTAGTGGCAAGAGGATCACTGATGCCATAAAACAAAATAATGTTCAAGTGACTTTACTGTAAACAAGTGTGAATTACAAGCATCTCTTGCTCTCCAGCTATATCTTTCGTCTGAGCTGCACACGAATGGGCCAGTGGGCTATCGGCCATGTGACCAGTGAAGGTGGTATCGTCCAGACCATCCCCCAGAATACACCTCTCTACCAGGCGCTCATTCAGGGCTTCAAGGAAGGCTGGTTAGGAGAAACACACACAGCTCTTGGCTTCATTTTCTTTCTTGTTTTTGTGTCTGTTCTCTCAGCGCTGTGTGTTTATGTGCCTGCAGCTACCTGCATCCAGATGGCCGCGATGTGAACCCCGACCTGACGAGCCTGTGTGAACCGACCCAGAGGGGCAAAGTCAAAGTAACAGAAGTAAGTGAATGCACTTCATACCTCTTTATCAATTTATCAAACTGCCAAAAAAACATCCTGAGGCGTTACCAAGACACCACATGAATCACAGCCTGAGATGTTCTCTTATTGTTTCCTGTCTACCCACCAACACCAACACCACCACTCCTGACAGGAGCAGTACGAGCTTTACTGTGACATCGGCAGCACCTTCCAGCTGTGTAAGATCTGTGCAGAGAGGGATAAGGACACACGTATCCAGCCCTGTGGCCATCTCCTGTGCCAACCCTGCCTCACGGGCTGGCAGGTATGAACCCCCATCCACTTACATATTGTAGCCTACTGTACAGTATTTTAAAGCACATACTAATCCTCAGCCAAGTGTTGAAATGAGACAGACTGTTACGGTAACCATTTTGTTTGTTCAGTGGCGTGAGACAGTCTACATTTACTAAAGTAGATTTATTTTCATAGGTCGGCCTGAACAACAGCGCTCCGATGGTTTGGTGGTTGGTTGTCTCCCCACCGTACTGTCACAATGCTGGTTATTTGAATGTGGTTTGGGGTTGATGTCAAAAATATGCTGGTGTTTAACAAAGTGTGAGTGATTCACACGTGCTGTTATATAAGAAAACCCTCACAAATCAATGCCATGACTGATTTATTCAGTTTAAACCAATGAATTATAAATACCTCAGTACTAACACGTACAATGTTTCACTGAAACGTGGAACAAAAAATAGCCTTGCTTTAAAACCACTATGAACAAAGTCTATAAAGTAACTTCCATGTCATCCATGTGCTTCTATGCCTGGATATTCCCATTCAAACTTAATGCCTTCAGAAGGGCATTAGAGCACTTTTATATCACACTTCAGCTGCCATATTGCATAAGTCAGCCTTGTTGACACAACACCACACTTTAAGAAATATTCACAACACCCGTGCTTATAAAATTAGGTCACATTTCATCCACAAATGTGTCACCTTTCACAGGCCAGAAGAAGAACTGTGCACTCCACACTTTAACGCTCTTTAACCAATTCTTTGCATGAGAAGATAGTTTGATAATTTACCGGAAAGAAAAGCACAAAGCTTGGTTCAGCGATTTAAAAAAAGAAAGGGCGTGTGAAGTGAACCATTACTATCATAGACAGATGCAATCAGCACGTAAACTGACAACTGTAAAATGATAGACTTTTAGCTGGAACAGATCTCTTAATGTCAGACATACGGTCGTCTTACAATTAAATTAATTATATTTGACTATTTTAGATTGCACACAAATCCCAAAAGTCTGTGTGTACCACAAAATGTAGTCATCCATCGTGTGGACAGCGTGTCCTGTATGCATTATTCTCCTCTAACGGGGCTCCCCCGCTGACTTCCTACTTCCTCTTTTAATCAGAGTGACACCGAAGACATCCAGTCAGATTTAAAGCTGCTGCTGGCAAATTAAAGCTTCATGCTCTGCTGCTATTTCTTTCAGTCAGCCAGCCAGCAGCTTCCCATCTGCTCTAGAGGTGTTTAAGTCTTTGCAAAGGTGCAGAGCTTCATGTCCTGACATTTGGCTAATGACTTCCTGTGCGAGCACAGGCTCACATCCTCCTCAAATTGTATCGGTCACATTCACTTTGAGTAAGAGTGTGTGCGAGAGAGAGTGAAGGGGAGAGGGAGAGAGAGAAAGAGAGAGACAGGAAAAGAGAATTAGATATGCTTCGTGGACGTCAGACCACAATGGAAAAATTGTAAGTTAGTCTAGATTGTGGTCAACCGAACTTCCTCATGAACAGCGAGTTTACAATACATGACACAACAATGAGCAGAGCCAAGTAACTTCAAAGGTGTCTGCAGACGTTTGCAGCTGAAAACTACACGTTAACAAAACACTACTAAAAGTCTATTAATTTTGAAAGCAGTGTGGGCAAGTGAAAGAGTTTTAAATAGGCCAAATAATAAGGTGTATCAGTCAGACTGCATCTGCAAAGAGGGTCAGTGGTCACAAACAAAAAATGCACAAACGTCATAAAACCTGGGGAGACACAAAGCCTGTGTGCTAGAGCAATGACAGCAAACTGTTACGATTCATCTTCATCTGGTGTACATTTATGGAAACCGCAATCTACAGAGTCTGTTGAACCTGGTATTTTCCACCTCCTTCATCTTTTGAAAAACTGGTGGCTTCATTCTTTGAAGTCAAGTCCAACATATTCCACTACACACACTTCAAAAGACAACGTGTTACTACCGGTCTCTACATTCACATAGTGTTTCCATTACTCTGCCCCATGACTGTTCGATGGTGACTATCTAGCAGAAGTCGGCTGGCCACACCTGCCCATACTGTCGCTGCGACATCAGAGGGACAGAGTCCATCCTTGTCGAGCCCTACCTGCCAGGCAGCGGTCACTGGGAGGAGGAGGGCGAGGACGACACAGAGGAGGCGGACCATGAAGACATTGAGCTGATGGTAAAGGAAATGGCTGCCCTGAGAAAGGTGCGTGAATACGTCAATCCCTAACCCTAACCCTAACCCTGGAAAACGAATGACATCCCCATTAGCCTCAGCTGGACTTTGTGTTAATGTGACAATGTGCTAAACTAAGATGCTGAACGCTGTAAACACCTGCCAAACATCAGAGCATATTGATCGCATCACAGTTGTACTACTAGCATTGCTACAGACCTAATCTAAAAGATCAATAGCACATGGTCTAAAGCAGTGGTTCCCAACTGGTGGGTTGCAGGTCCATTCTGAATGGTCCACAAATGACTCGCAAATGTGTCAAGTTTGTAAAAAGCACACTTTATTTTGAAGCACAGTGAATTTCTGGCACAGAGCTTTTATTTTGAGGTGCCATTTCCTTCTGTAGATTGAGTGACTAATGCACAGCTACGTAACAGAGACAGCAAACTAGCTCAACGACATGGCCAAATGCAAGTATGACGCTAAATGTATTAAACTGTGTGGACCTTCAACTGATGACTAAGGAGAAATCTGAACCCTGAGGCTGGACCAGTTGAGAACCAGTAGTCCAAAGTGCAGGGCACAGGTGCATTTAGGCTGTGTCCATCGACTTTTGGCAGTTTAACGGCACATAATCTGGGTCAAGGGATTGTATCTAGTCTTTTAATTAATGAGAGGTGTGTTTGGGGTGTAACATGACTTCAGCCAGTCAGTGTCATCTCCCGTTCCCCAAAAGCCAGGTGTTCCTGCACCTGGTGCACTTTGTACATTGCAATTCAGCAAATAGGAGTGAGCTGTTTTGTGCTGAGAGTAATGCAGTCAGAGCAGTAATGTTACTGCAGCAAATATCGTGGGACATTAAAGCAGCACAACTCAAACCTGTAGTTATAAACGTGACCAAGCAAACAGAACTATACTTTTAGCTTCTGAAATAATCAATGAAGTCACACTGCTCCTCATAGATCTGCAGAGCCTCTCTTAATGGGGAGTCGGACTGCAGCTCTGCTCTGCTCTCTGCTACGTTAACATTTTAATGAATGTTAATCATGTATTATTTCACCAACCCTCAACCCATCTGCGTGTCTCTATGTGTGTAACAAGCAGAGAGTGCATGTAGGTGCATGTTACTGTCTGAATAATGTGTCCTTTAATAGCAGGAAAATACTGCATCATTCTGACTTCACATCAGGTTTTTGATGGTCAATGGCCCAGTTACTTTCTGCTGCCTCAAAATAGCAATTCAACTTTGGTCATGTATAAAACTACAAACATTCTGGGATAGAATAACTCAGATTCTCGAGAGAGTTTTAGGTTACAAGATCCCAAGGGACCCACGGATTGTGTACTTGGGATTAATACCTGAGGACATTATTCATATGAAGGACACTTATCTGTTCAGAATCCTTATACTGGCCTAGTAAAGGCTTAAATAATTGAAAAATTGATAACAATTCACTGACAATGTCCCTGACCACGCCTCATTTTAAGTCCCACATGCCCAAGGTTGCACAGATAGGCCCAAGTACATTTGCTACTGGTGAAAATGGCAGTTGCATCAGTCTGAAAGTAGCAGTGACAGTTGCGCTGTGCCCATCTGTGCACCAGGTGTAAGATAGGGACCTTAGTCTTGTTTCTATGTGTTTGTCTCTGTCTGCAACTCATCCGGCCTATAAGTAAACTTACAGGGAGGAACTGTATCTATTGCAACATGCATCCTCATCCTTCCTCCAGCTTGTTTGCCACTTTAAAATAATGCTCTCATACTGTATGATGAAGAAATAACCTTATTTTTTAATTCCTCACTGACCGCCTACACTTTCTCTCAACAGATCTCCAGTTTGGATTACCAGGTTCCCACCTCCCACCTGAGCGCTCCACCTCTGCCCCCCAAGCACAGCACAACCCCACGCTGTCCATCTCCCTCTGACCAACTCCAGACATCCGAAACCAAGACACTGGACAAACACTCCCACTCCCGCTCAGTGAGTTCCCGCAGACACTGAGGCTATTTGCATTCTGTTGCTGTATGACTTTCTTGGCAGTTTGATGAAGCGATGTGTTAAATTTCTCCATTCCTCACAGACAAACTCTGAGAAATGCTAATTCATGCACAGTGCTGCAAAGGTTCACCAACTGTAGTGTGAATATATGTAGCAGCCAGGGGTGGAGGGAACAAATTGCATTTGCTCTTGTTGCTGTAACAAAGTCTTTTTTTATGTGTGTGTATGTGTGTGTGTGTGTACTTGTACTTTTTGACTATTTTAAAAAAGTAATTTTGCTTGTGCTAAAGTCATTTTTATATGTCAGGTTTTGTACTTACCTTCACCCTCGGTAGTAGCTGATGGCTGCATAATCATTGTGACACGTGTCCTCTCTTCAGCAGGCCCACAGCAGCGGTGAAGCACGTAGAAGACACAGAAAACAGACAAACATGAAAAGGTGAGACAGTGTTTACAGCAGAGCAGTAAAGGAGGAACATGCTGCTGTTGTTGTCTACATGTCTACATGTATACACACACATATATATATATATATATATATATATATATATAAGAAACCTTAAGGAGTCTAAATTTGCTGCTAAAGCCTTATAGAGCGACTTCATCCCTACTGAGATTATTTATAGTCTCAGTTCCAATTGTCTATAAGGGAACTAAGAGACGACGCTTCCACCAAGTTACTGTAACCTTTAACAAGTGTTTAACATTATGCTGGGAACCCACTGGATGGCTTTAAATACCCAGATCAGCTGTGCAAAGACTCAACACATCAAATGAATTAACTGATTTTGCATTTTGTGGTTGTCATGTATTTGTTGTTTTAGTTTTGTATCATACATGTTTGTGTGCATATGTGTATTTGTTTTTTTGTCTATGCAATAAAAAGCTTGTAACAAAAAGAATAAAAATCAGGCATTTACCTGTGGACTGTGTCAAGATTAATATCACTGGTAGCAAGACAAATAGAATGACTAATGTGATTATTAAAGATATTTTCTATGCTAGCTGTAAGTCCTAATTCTTTGTGTTTCTTTATTGTTAATCAGACAATTGCTGATATTTAATATCCTTATTTGATGAGGATAGAAGATTCCTGTTGGCTTTTGTTGATGCTGTTGCTAGTCACACATTTATGCATGTGACACAAGCTTTACTTTTATAAGGTGTCAGTGGTAAAAGTCACACTGCATTCACCTATATTTCCATTTTATGTTCTGTCTTAAGCAGCGCTGATTTCCGCACAGAAGCAAAACTTTCCTCTTCCTCTCAGAAGGATGTCAACAGTAAGTTATGGCCTGTTTTAACCTTGTATGCTGAACTGTGCCCATACTAAATAGACGTTAGATTATTCTATAATATGCAGATGATGTTGTCCTAAAAGAAATTTACAGGGTTGTCTTCCAGTGGTCCCCAATCTGTCACGCCTCCCTTCAAGGCCCAGACACACCAAACAGACATTGAGGTGGTGATGAAGGCCGACTGTTGCATTGCCTCACGTAGCCTGCGTCTTGGTGTGTCAGGGCCTTTAGCCACCAATCAAAAAGTGCATAAGTTGAAAGCATACTGGGAACACTGAGAACCAAAGCAGCCCAGACAGCCATTTTTGTAGACATAATATTATCAAGACTGTGTACAGCATGTTTCTTTTTGGTTGTGTCCTCATTTTGTTCTGTTATGCAAATGAAAAATGTGAGTTCAACTTTGAGGTTTTACTTTTACTTTTTAAGACACAAGGCTGGCATGCTGCTGAGCACTCAATTTGCTTTTTCCATCTCATAATTTGTGCAGACCGTCCTGACCTTTACATGTTGTTATGCTTTCTGAATGAACCGTGCCAGCCTGAATCCTGTTTGCTTTGCCAACATCGTGTTATACTGTTTAACAATGCTTCATTTTATTTCCCTTTATTTTATTATTATTTATTTGTGTTTTTTTATTATAATTGAGAGGGCATTTGTGAGGGGCGAGATTTAAGAAGTTCAGAATAGGTGTTACAATACAAACACAACGCTTTGTGAGGGCCTCACAGTCATGTAGACATCCCAGCCTGTATAAAGATATGCACCAATGCGTCCTCATGTTTTTAATGAAATTTGACCAAAAAACTGAAGCTTTAGACAATTTTTATATATTTTTATTTTGTTTTAGTTAAATTTGTGCATTTACAATGTAGTTTCAGTTTTTGTTACTTTCTGAAGTCTAGTTTTTATTTTTATTTCATTTGACTTAAATATTTTTTCACACCTTGAGTTTTTAGTTTAGTTTTAGTCAACTACAATAACCTTACAAAGAATTGCAGCAATTAATAATATCAGTGACACATTTGTGGCTCATTTGACTTTAGTTTCACTTCGTTTTTGCAGTTTTACACTCCAGTTTTAGAACCACTTGTGTAACCATGTAGTCTTAAATTAAAAATCAGGGCACCCGGTGGCTTAGTGGGTAGAGCAGGCCTGCCTTATACAAGGGCAATGACTTTGCCACAGAGGTCGCAGGTTCGATTTCAGCCTGCAGCCCCCTGCACATCCAGACCGCCCCACCCAATGAAGGCAAAAAAATTAAAAAAGTAGTCTTTAAATCCGCTCCAATCCAGTAAAGGCACCACCCCAAACTTCATCTGTAACCTATAATCTAATCCAGGTCTCATCCTAGGTATCATTCACTCATCTAAGAAGTTTTAGGTGATGGATTTTAGATATTTCTCAGTAAATAATGTGCTGTATATCTGCTTTGACTTTCCTCCTTCTCATGTAATTGTGTATTTAAGTGTGACATGTTTCTGTGTGTAGGTGGAGTAGCGTGGCTCTGACATGAATAGAGGGACGAACAGAGAGCGGTGCTCAGAGGAGACAAACATGACCTGGGAGAGGTGACAGCATCCTGACAGAGAAGCAACCTCTGCAAAATAAAAACTCTTTTAATAGAGGGAGAAATACTCAGCGACTAAAATATCCTCATTCCAGAAATCAGCTCTCATTGAATGTAAAAATAGTCTTTGGAGTCATGTTTAGCTGTAAATGACCGGCGTGTCAGCTGCACTGCTGAAGCTCTGATGTGTGTGGGCGGGGACTGACAGGAAAATTGCTTACTGAGGCCTCCTACTGTTCAATAATCACACTGCCATTATCTCTGCAGTAGGTTCAGTACTGATTCTTTATAATTAAAAGTGTTTCCGGAGCCTCCTTGAGATTATTTAATGAAAGGCTTGATGAACAAATGAAGGGGGCAACAGCTTATTTAGGGTGAATATATGAAACAATATAAATATGCTACCTCGTCATTTAACTCATAACATATGTCTGCTCTCATAAATAAGTTATGTAAGTCAATAAAGGCCTCTGTGTAATTACATTTTATTGAAATTAAATAAACCTTCAACTGACACATGATTGAGTGTCTGTAGTTTCATTGTGTGGTGTGTTTCTTCCATTACAGACATGACCAGACAAGTGAAAAGTGAATATATATCGAGTGTTTTTATTTTGGCACGTGCGTTGGATATATGGGGGAGAAATTTTAAAAGGAGACAAGGCACCAGTGAAACACAGAAATTAAAGTCAGGGCTTCAAAAGAAAATAAGAATGAGGAGAACCAGTGGGAGACATGAGGAGAAATAAAGTGAAAAATGGGTGACTTCTTCAGGGGTTTGCTGCCATGACGTCCTCAATCCAGTAGAGGAACTCACACAGTTTGACGTAGACCCCGGGGTAGTTGGGCTGAGCACACCCCCGACCCCATGACACCAGGCCGTGGACCTCTCCTTCACACACCAGAGGGCTGCCGGAGTCACCCTGACAAACACAGAGGGAGCGAGTGTGAGCATGTGACTCATTTTCACACACACACACACACACACACACATACAGAGCTGTGGTAGTCTTTGGAAGCTTTTACTGTGAAACTCACATTGCAGACATCTCTGCCTCCGTCCAAGTACCCGGCACACATCATCCTGCGTGTGATCATGCCGGGATAGGCGTTCTCACAGTCCTGCTCGTCCAGGATGGGCACGTCCAAACACTGCAGACGGGTCGGCAAGTTCACCGCTACAGACGGAGCACAGATAGTCATGGAAACCTCAAAGACAGGAAAATGAATTTATAGGAAAAGGCCGGCAATATTCTGTGCTTTTGCTGCTGTCAACAAATTCTATGAAAAATAAATGTGTCCATTTCTCAACACTTTCCCTCCCCACCTTGTCTACGACTCTCAGACTCTCAGTTTGTTCCTGCTGAATCTAAAATCAGTGAATCTTAATAGAACCTATAAAAACAGGTCACAAACATATATGTTAATAAAAAGAAAAGGTAAATTATTCCTAAAACACTTGACGCTGAATATATTAAACTGTGTGGACCTTGAGGTAATGACTAAGGAGAAATCTGGACCTGTGGCTGGACCAGTTGGGAACCACTGCCCTATTGAGTATTTACTACAGCAGGATGGTATATGTGGAGTCAGCTACAGCTGCAGAGTGAACTAGAGTGCCAATATTTAGTATGATAAAGGAACATGTTTCAATGGCTACATTTACATGTACATTAATGTTCCACTATCATTCAAAACATGACAATATTCTGATTTTGATAAGGGTTGTGTAAACAGGATATTTGATTTGGATATTCTGAATTAGGCCTTTTTATGAAGGTAGCCTTTTCCGATTATGACATGTGGAATGTGCCGCTACTATTCGGGTTTTAACAGCATCCCTTGGACATGTATAAAATGTTTGCTTAACCCCTGTCCACCCTTTTGCACCCTGACGAAGACCATAGAGTCGAAATCAGTCGGTGTTTTAATGTAAGCAGCCGTATTTTGAAATAAAGCTTTTCAACTTGATTCAGATGCATCTGTTCCTGCTCCACGCATGAGTGCCTGAGGTTCAGTTTACCCTCCCATGTGCCCATTTTCTTCAAGAGCAATGTCCCTGAGCACACTACTATCCCGTTCTTCAAAGTTAACAAGGCTGCTGTGACAATGCATGCCCAAAAGAAAAGCTGGCATTTCTGGTCAGATGGAGAAGCACTCCTACTTTTACGAAGGACTTGGATATCAACAGGTTTTTGGATATGCACAAACATGACATCGCTGACCTTTTCAAGAAAGTGATTGACAGAATAAAAGATGGAGGCTCTGTTAGCAGGGTCGAGCAACTCCACCACTGATAGGAAAATCCTATTTTGATGCAAAGAAGCAAAATGACAAGGAGCTCCAGTCATTTTGCTTTCCATTAGCCAGGTAAACAGCGTGGTAGGAATAAGGGCAGAAACTTGAATATGTGGTCAATGATGTCTAAAGTTTTTGGACAATGACAGAGGTCTATGACGTGAGGAAGAGGAAGAGCTACATCAGACTTTGGCTACACTGGCACTTCTTTTGTTTGCAGGATCAGTTCGCTGCTTGTTTTGAGTTATTCAGGTGAATTGTTGACTATTAGAAACCTAAATAATCTCATCAGAAGTATCCTTTAAAGCTGCTATGTGTTCATGTGTAACTTGAAAATGGATAACTTTAACACCCCCTGCTGGAAACTTAGATAAGAAGACACTGCTGCACCTTCCCCTTGCTGCCTCAGGTCTACCTTATTCCAAAAGAACACATTGAAAACACTTGTTTGCCTAAGTTTTGCTGTCAGAGTAATTTAAATAAGCTAAAATCACAATATAAACCACCTGTTACACGATACGTGCAATGGTGTTGAGCTTGATGTTAAGATGTATAAGTTAAAACATTTGAATCAACCCACGCTCGCCGTCGGGGGCGGAGTTACCCCAGCCAGACACAGTGCAGGGAAGCCCCCCTATCGGGCACCATGTGGGCAACGAGATGGGCGCGACTGCTGCGGTCTCCTCCACCGGGTGGAAGAGCTTAATCAGCATGATGTCGAAATCCAGCGTCTGGTAGTCATAACTGCACACAGAGAGACAGAAAATAAGCTTCAGACTTCCTCTGCACTGAATGAATGAATCCGATGAGAATAAAAGTGTGCAAAAGCGAAGATTCTCAGGCGGTAGTTTTTCATTTTGTCACTCACCTGGGGTGCCAGATGATGGTGTCGGTCTTCATGAGCTTCTCTGTACCTTCAAACACTCGCACATCATGTTCTCCCAGCATGACCTGCATGGCATAGGGACTGAGAGAGGAGATGAAATATACCAGAAAATGTGGACGCGGAAAAAAACTTTCAGTAGTTTATGTTTTTGTAATTCCACATCATTCTTCATCCTTTCATTTTCTCTCTTTCTGCAGAAACTACATTACTTTTAGATTTCGCAGATGTACTCCGCATATGGTCCTAAATTGAAAAGCATTTGTCTTCCGCCTACATGTTTTGTTTTTTAAATCTTAAAGAGAGAAAAATGCACAAAAATGAAGCAAGAAAAATGGAGCTTGGCAACAAGATAATGTCCATAATATTTAAAAAGCCATGTTGTCTCCATCAGAGCACACTTACTTGTACCAACAGTGGGCAACGGAGAGCACCCACTGCCTGTTGATGAGCACCCCACCACAGAAGTGGTAGCCATAGTTGAGGGAGGCCATGTATGGACGAGAGTTCGGCTCACACTCATACCCACCAATGATCCTGCCATCTTCACGGGGAACTGCCGCTGTCACACACACAAAAATAGATAGAGGGGAAACAGAAAGAGTGAGATGTGTGTTTCAAAGTGATCTTTAACCACAGTACACATCTACGGCTCTGTGTGTATTTCTGTCTTTACCAGCAGCTCCGATCACCAGCAGCAGAGCCAGCAGTCTCATGGTGTCAGGTAGAATGATCAGAAGACACCTGGACACACCCCGGCTCTTATTTATGTCCCACCAGCCCCCGGGGTGCCTCGGCCTGTCCGCCCTCCCCTCCTCTCTTCCCTCTTTCTGTTGACCCCACCTGTGTCCTCACAGTCTTGGCACCAAGTCTCACCTCAAATCTGCTCCCTTATCACACTCCTTTTTTTAATGTTTGCCTGCCTCTGCCCCATCCTAGCACACCCCCTGTGGTTATGTCATCTGTGCACCTCATTTACACATGTGGACCAAGGTCTCCAAACATTTAACACCTGTTTATGGTTCTCTCATGGGTCACTCATTGCTGGCGAAGCTGCATTAAAGAAACAGAGAAAACAGTTACACAACCTTCTTTTTAGGCTTTGTTCAATTTGACAAAAGGGATAAAAGAAGAAAATTACAGCAATTTTGAACCGAGAAACTTCGCTGGCAGACAGTACATTATTCCTAGTTTGGTTAAAGAAAAATAAGTAAATGCATAATGCTTTTTTATGGCTCTGTTTTTTTGTTGGCCTTGAATAAAAGCCAAGAGAGGTGAGAAAGAAATCATCTGCTGCCTCCGAAGCTGAAAACAACATGCTGTTTGCTGTTTTGCTGGACAGGAATCAGCCGATTTTAAGCTCCAATGAGAGCCAATGCCATTTTATTCCAACATGTGCATATGTGTACATATCTCCTGCTCCAATATATGTTGGCAAGTCTTTATTAATGACCCCTCGAGATGTACTTGTTTTCAAGGGGTCCTCAGCGACAGTGATATGAGCACAACTGGACAATCAACAAAAACAGAAATAGCAAAAAGATGATTTACTGATACCAAATGTGACCAAAAAATAAACATTAACATCAAATAGTAAGACAATACAAACTGAGGAGATGATATAAGTCCCAATCAGAGCATGAAAACAGATAATTAATCATAGATTTAAAAAAAAAAAGTGCAACACATTCTCAATCCAACTCGTCAAATACCAGCTCTTGGTCAGTGGCCCTGCACGTCAAGCTATGACACTCTAGCACGCCACGGCATGTGAATTTACGCTTCTTACACACATTGTGTAATTTCAAAATAAACTTACATTTTCACAGTTTCAACTCTTTAAATATATACAGGCTCTTTCAAAATAAACTTACAATGATGATAAAAGGTTAACTTTTGGACAGTACATTGTCCTTTGAGGCCCACATCAGTAACGTTACTCTGTCTGCATACTTTCAGCTACGAAATATTAATCATCTTCGTCTGTCACTTACACCTCAGAGCGCTGCTATCCTCGTTCACTCTTTGGTTACATCCCGTATTGATTATTGCAGTTATGTCCTCTTTGGTCTCCCTCTCAAGTGTCAATGACATGCAGCAAGGGGCCACAGGCTGGAGTTGAACCCAGGCCGCTGCGGCAACAGCCTTGTACATGGGCCGCCTGCTCTATCCACTCAGCTACCGACGCCCCAGCACACTACATTGTTATTAAAATAACTCAATTGACTTTTGGTATCACATGAGAAACGAACTTGTGTCTCTTGAGTGAGGGCCTGGAGTTTGTCTTAGTCATCAATATCCAGCGCTTGGGCAGTGACTTGAAGCATCAGACACTGACGAAAAAAGCCCACCTTTCAAAACGGCATAATATGCAGTCAGTCGGCATTATAGTCTAATGGCGCTTGGTGGCGTCAGGGGGAAACATGGGGGAACAAGAGAGTCCAAGTCGGGTGGGCAGGAGGGGTGGTGGATGGGTCCAACAAACACCAACTTTCACTCAAGAGAGCGGTGTTCACGTCCCATCAGATTATAAAGCCAAAGCCTGTTCTTTTTTCCTAAACCTAACCACGTGCGTTGGTTGTTGAAGGAAAAAAAGAGTTAATTTGCGCTGTTGTACCAATGTAGTGCCTTTATTTTGAAAGAGACTGTATGTAAACATTAAATTTCCTGTGAAAATAGAAGTGTACTTTGAAAGAAGACAATGCATGTGACACTCAGACGTTGACACGGTGTCCCAGAACATTAACAACCAACACACCCAGGGTACCTTGCACATCGTATCTGGTCGTGGAAAGTCCATGACCAAACGTCGATATGTGACGAGGTCGGAGTGAGAATGTGTTTATCTAACACCCCCTGCTGAAGAGTGCCTCGGGCATCGGTATCTGACACCGAGAGCCTGTGACGAAGCGTTAGTATCTGGGAGTGAGATCGGGCTGAAAAGTGACGTCAGTGTTAGCATTAGGTAATAAAGTTAAAAAAACACAGAAGTGTTAAAAGTGTTACTATGGACAGGTGCCACTGATACTATAATAAAAAGACATTTTTTGAACATGGATGGAATATTCACAGGTAGATTATTTCAATCACAAGGAGCTTTAAACATTAAGGCTTTCTTAGCTATTGACTTAGAGACTGCAGGAACAGAGAAGAAGAGCTGTGTAGAGTGTCTCCACTGATAATTAAATGGCAAAAGGTGCCATAAACTGCTGTAAATAATGAGGGTAATTGAAATGTAAACAATTAAAAGTAAACTATATATAACACATGTGGTTGCATTAACTTATTGTGGTGTCTGCTAAGAAGGGAAGTTACACGTGTCACCCACAGTCACATTTATTTAGGTGATAGGTGCAGAAAATGATCTGTCGAAAGCAGAGTACGGAAAACAATCTCCAAGGCCGAAAGACGCAGCTCACTTATTAACTGAAAGGATGGACGTGGCACATAAGAAGATAAGGTTATTTTTCAGGGGCAGGGAGCGGGGCGGAAGGAGTGGGCACAGATTCAACAGTGGGTGGGCAGAGTTGGGTGGAGGTGTGGAGAGGGGGAGGAGTGGGATGGTGCATGGAAGGACACAGAGGAGTTTAGGTATAAATGCAATGACTGATGGATCATTCACGTCCAGTCTGGTTGTGAGAAGGCTCGAGTCAGCCACAAGATGATTGGCCTGATTGTTGTCACACTCCTGGGCTCTGCAGGTAAAGCACGTCTGCAGTACGAACACTTTCACAGTGAAAGAGAAGTGTAACTGTGACAAATATTAAGACTCTTCTATTTCTTTTACACCACAGCTGCAGCACCCACTGATGACAGGATTGTGGGTGGCTACGAGTGTGCACATCACTCTCAACCCTGGCAGGTGTCTCTCAATATCGGCTACCACTTCTGCGGTGGCTCCCTCATCAACGACCGGTGGATAGTCTCTGCTGCCCACTGCTGGCAGAAGTCTGTATTACATTAATGCGTTCAACGTTTCTGTACGAACTGTATGTTTAAAAGAACTATAATAATTTTGTTCTTTGTCTCTGTTACAGCCCTTATTCACTGATTGCCATCCTGGGTGAACACCACATCTGGAATAACGGGGGCACGGAGCAGTACATGCCAGTTGATGCCATCTACTGGCACCAGAGCTACGACTACCAGACCCTTGACTACGACATCATGCTGTTGAAGCTGGCGCACCCCGCCATCTTGAACGACTTCGTCAAGCCCGTCGCCCTGCCCACTGCCTGCGCCGCACCTGGGACCATGTGCACGGTGTCCGGATGGGGAAACATCTACGCTGATCAAGGTGAGGAGGCACCTGATATTCACGTTAAAAGTCATTAAGACATTTTTCTGAATCTGTTGTGAATCTGTTGTTTCTTGATGTTTTTATTGAGGTCACTTGTAGAAACAAAACGTGACAAATTATGACACTCATGGCCCTCCATAGATTTGAACGCATTTTAACAAAAGCCTTTAATAAACAATACAGGACTGATATGCAATATTTCTTTGACTGCTGTCATAAACTAAAACAGAGCAGACCAACTCACCTGGAACAAAGAAACCTTGAGCTTCTCTCACAAAGAATATCAAACCTTTATGAAATAAACATTAGCCAGACAGGAAGAGGTGTTATTGTACACAGCAGACATCTTATATTTAAATAAGGTAGATGCTGTTTAGGGCGTCATCTACTGATTAGTCAAAAGACAAGATGCAAAAAGATATTGGTGGCTTAGGGCTAAAGGTTGTCTTAGAAATATACTTTTGTGACTGCAAAACTTCACTTCACAAGAACAGAATTTTGTATTCTTCAAAAAGGAAGCCTCAAAGTTAACCTGAAAACATAATTTGACAAATTGACTATTTGCTAAGCACCCCCCCCCCCCCCCCCCCCCCCCCCCCCCCCCCCCCCCCCCCCCCCCCCCCCCCCCCCCCCCCCCCCCCCCCCCCCCCCCCAGATACTGCTGCTCTTTCAGTAAGTTTTCCATTCTCACCAGCACATAATGTATTTTACAGTGATAACCACGGCTTTCTCTCTTTCCCTTTGACATTTAACACTGTACTGTCATTAAAGAAAAAAAAGCCCCCAAAAATAATCCTTAAAAGCATCTCAGGGATCGACCGATTACTGGCCACGATATTTAGCATTTTCATGATTATCGGAGTTGTTTTTATGTGATAACTAATATAAAAAAATGAACAGCTGTACATAAAAATAAATTCCTTGAAAAATGTGTTACTTTGGCTCTGATGCCGCCTGACTTCACTCCTCTGTAGCCTCGATCAACGCTCTGCCCACAGCACTATCCGATTGGTTACATGTCACAATTAATTAATAGCCTGTCAGCACTAAAAGGCTGCCGTGCCACAGGCAGGCAAAGATGACCACAGCTACTCCGGAGAGCAGAAGTTGCAATAAGCATCACAATCCTCTATGCCAGTGGTTCCCAACTGGTCCAGCCACAGGGTCCAGATTTCTCCTTAGTCAAGAGTTCAAGGTCCACACAGTTTAATATATTCAGTGTCATACTGTGTTTGGCCATGTGGTCAAGCTAGTTTGCTGTTTCTGTTAGTAGCTATCTATTAGTCACTCACTCTACAGCAGGAAACAGCACTTCAGAATAAAACCCCTATATCAGAAATTCACTGTACTTCAAAATAAAGTGTGATTTTTTTCAAAAATTTGATACATTTGCGAGTCACTTGCCGTCCATTCACCTGCGACCCACCAGCTGGGAACCACTGCTCTACGCAGTTGCCCAACACCCAACATTTCCACTAGTAACGTTCTGCTGTTAGTACGTTAATGGATGCAGTATGGGCAGGGTTGGGGGGTGTCCCTATGTCAAGCCCTGATAATAACGGTGAAATATTTACCATTCAAAACATTTCAGTAATTTATAAAACCAAGTGTCCAGTCCCTGGTTGATGACACTGAGGGACAACTGACGGCAGATCTCTATCAGCTGTTGCTAAGCTTATGTGGCTCACTAATGCTCACAACCTGATGGCTACATACTGGATATAATGCTAATGCTAACATTGGCTAAAGATCCAAAATCCAGCTTGACAGGCTTGCCGTACCTTGCTGTGGCTGCTAAGCTATTATTTGACAATTACTATTTGGGGGTGGGGGTCAGTTGTGGCAGATAAATTAAAACCAATGGCTGTTTTTTCTTAGCTACACAAAAGTTGGCATTTCAGAGATATCCACAAAGGTCTGATATTGTTAAAAATATTCTCAACTATCTTGAACTTGTTTTTCTTACTTGCAGTGTTCAACCCGTTCAACCTTCAATGTGTGGACGTCCCCATCCTGTCTTACAAGGAGTGCGACGGCTCCTACCCCGGCATGATCACTGACCGCATGGTGTGTGCTGGGTACCTGGAGGGAGGCAAGGATGCTTGTCAGGTATTTCCACACAATTACGCATCACATAAAATAAAGCTTGGCGATCTGTGACTGTAAAATATTAACTGGGATGAGATGATGAAAGGACTAAACTCTGCTTCTCCTCCCTGCTCAGGGTGACTCCGGTGGTCCGATGGTGTGTAATGGGGAGCTGCAGGGTATTGTCTCTTGGGGACAAGGCTGTGCTCAGCCCAACTACCCGGGCGTTTACACCAAAGTCTGCTCTCTGTTGCCTTGGATCAACGATATTCTCTCCAGTTACACCTAGGCTGTGATCTCCCATCACAGAGCAGTGTGAGAGAGGGGAAGGCAGAGGGAGATTGAAATTGAAGGAGACAGAGACAGGAGGCGGTGGTGGGTAGTGTCAGACAGAAAGGCAGCGGGAGAGCGGCTGAGCGGGCGAGAGCCACGAGGAGAAACAGTGGGAGAGAGGGAGAGAAAGAGAGATGTAAGATGTGTTTAGTCAGGGCACAATCAATAAAATCTACCATTTTGTGATGCATCAGTGTGTTTATTATTGCTGACAATACTGTAGTGCTGCATCTGCTCCCAGCGCAGATGCTCCTGGGAAACTGTGTTACTGTTTTCTGAATACTTTATTTTAATTCAGGGGTGACATTCCAGCAAAGTAAATAGAAACCACGGCCCCACAATAACACCTAATGTCACTACACTGCAAAAATATCCCCAAATTGCATCAGCTTGTGAGCAAATCCAACCCAGTGTGTGTGAATGAGTTTTTCTTTGGCCCACATCCCCAAACTATCACTTCATGAGGTTCCCATCAAAATAAGACACACAAACTGTTGCTCTCACCGTTGTTTCCTTACTTGTGCATCTAATAAACAAGTTAAGAACATTGGTGTTTAGCTTTATAAATCTACATGAACAGTTTTAAAAGGTTTTGTCAGTCTTTTAGGGGTTGTTTCGGAGCACATGTATATCGCCCTCATTTTGATTTTCTTTCTCCTGAGTGCAGAAGGTTTTATTCACCTGGAAAGGAAGGGCGCAGATGTTGCAACACCCCATTTATCAATGTCAGTGTGCGACAAGAATCTGAAAAGGACTTCTGAAAACTGTTCAATGAGGTTACATTCAGAACTGAGAAGTTGGTCTCGAGTCTATTCTGTGGCAAAAATGTGGTGTCAGAGAAACTCAGAGAAAAGTTGTTTCCTCGGCAGGAGGTCTCCCTTATCATCTATAAAAAGTTTGTGGTGCAGAAGTCATGTGGCTGACGATGACTCACAAGCTCTGCCATCATTTTTTTCCCATCACACTGCTTCTTTTGACAATATTTCCCTTCATATGGACAAAGTCTGAAATGATGCTAAAGTCGTAAAGGCAGTGTTAGGGAAGAATGAGCTAGATGCAATCAGTTAAAACAACATTCTGCGTTTGCTTGCAAGCTACATTCATATTTGGATAGTGATTCAAAGGGTAAAGTACTTTAATGGTTTTTTATCATTATCATAATTTTTATTTTACCATTGCTTCTCTAGTGTAATTAAACCTCCTTTGACCAGCCCTGCCCCCTTTCTTTCATCCTGACCTCTGTGAAGGCAGAATCTGTAGAGCTAAACTTGAATATATTAGGTGTCAATTATTCTGAAGTATTGATTATTGCTGTTTATCAACAAATCCTCAGAGAAGTTGCCTCATACTGTTTTATACCCCCACTTGGACTTTGGTTTCTGGAAGGCAGTTATCAAAGTCAGTGGTTCTCAAATGGTGTAACGTGGTATTTTGAAAAAAACACACATTATTACTGCAATATTAAACTGGGCCTGTACAAAAAGTTATGAATGACTGATTAAGTGACTGTATCAGTATGTTGTGCACACCCATTTCATAATAAAGAGGTGAAACTAGATAAAAAATGTAGTTTAATTTAATCTAATTTTTAAAAAACCAAATTGGTACCGTTCACGCATGGGAATTATAAGTGTGTGACACATCAAAAGCCCTGATTGGCAGCCAGCGTGAGGGGTGATAACATTTAAAAGGAGAAAGCCGTGACCGGGACAATGGATCGTAAATAGTGCTTTTGTTTTTGTTTTTTGGTTTATGGCCTGTGATCAAGTGGGAATTATTTTGAGTGGCCTGTGACTTTTTAAAGTCACAGGCCACTCAACAATGTGACTTTTTAAAGCAGCTGTGCGGAACTTTTTACCATTCATAAAACTGTCCCTAGTTTGTATCACCCCCCCTTGAAGATCCGCATATTTATTTGAACCCAACAGCGACAAAAAAGCCTTTCTCTATATGGCTATTTAGCATAGCCTGGCTCGGGTCGGACACAGCAGAAGTCAGCAAACCAGAATACGGCACACGGAGGCAGAAATAAGTCTGCATGCCCGCAGCGGCCCGCAGCCATTAAACCACAGAAGAAGAAGGAGCCGTGTTTACGAGTAGGATTTAAGAAACAGGCTAAATGACATGTAGTAGGGAGTAGTGAATGATTTCGGACACATTGCACACTCTTGTACAGTAGGTGTTGGTATGCACCTGGAAGTTGTTCGCAATCCGCCAATAAATTGAGAGAAGAAGAAGAGCCGTGTTTACAGAGAGTGTTGTTCGAGTAAGCGGTACGGAACAGGCATTGCTGAACAACAGTTTTACCAGATGTATCTATAAGGACTTGGTTGTACTTTCGATGTTATGGCGGATAAAGAAGGAGCACCATCTAAAAGAAAAAGAACTGAAGAAGGCTAAATGGGACAGTGATAGGGCTCGAGCCCAAATGTGTGTAAACCTCGGTCGGGCATTCACCAAGTGGAGAGAGCTGAGAGAATTGGAAGGTTTTAAAACTGATCCCGAGTTGGCCCTTTTCCTAATCAACAGGTATGTAATTTTTGTTTTTATCTAGAGAATATACTGCAACTTGTTAGATGTTGTTTCACTTCAATATATGACGACATGGAAGTTATAAGCAAGCTAAATGTAACGTTAGCTGATGTGAACCGCTTTTGTCTAGTAACATTACAACAAACGCCACAAAATTATCTGTGACCATGAACACAAATATAAAGCAGGCAGTTGTCCTCAGTTGATAAGAAATTCAGAGCTACACCAGAACATTTATGATTTTTCTCTCTCTCTCCAAAACAAATGCATGCGGTAATTGCCGGTTGCAGTCGAGATTTTAAGACACCAGGCTGTGGGTGTCATACCGCTTCGACCAAAGGGGGGCTCTATAATCAACGAAAACGTAAAGTTCCGCACAGCTGCTTTAAATTATATTTTGCTATAATTTTGTATCACACGTACATTGTCAATTTTGAACTGCTTTTTCTAAATAGCTTTAGTTAACCAAAATAAGTTCCTCTGTCGGGTATCTTCTCTGTGGTTCAACTTCTTTGACTGTGAAGTCATTGGTAGCTTGCGAGGCTATGCTTTTAAAGCAACTTCCCCAACACTGTGTAAAGATCAAAGGTTATTTCCTTGGAAGTCGATTTTGCTTTTGGATACTAACAAAAGCTCATGCCTGCAAGATCTTAACTCCTACCCCTGCTGGTATAGATGTGGTTCGACCACTCCAGGAGATGCTCTGTCATCATCCTGGTTCAGTCCAAGCAGGACATTCAAATCAAAGGCATCTTTTTAGAGCAATATCCAGTATAAAAATGATCATCATCATCATCATTATTATTATTATTATTATTATTATAAGTAGTAGTATGTAGTGTATTTTTATTATTATTAAATTTCATCTTTTACTTAGATGACATTTTATGACCTCATTTGTTTTATTCTCCCTGTGTTTAGTTTTATTGTACAGCACTTTATTACTGTGGTTTGAAAGGTCCTATATAAATAAAGTTTATTATTATTATTATATTTTTTTTAACAGGACTTCTTTGTTTGTTTGAGTTTTTTGTTTGTTTTTCTAAGGGATTCATTCTGTGAGGTTTCTAAAAGAAAAATGGTGCTCTACTGTACTCTTTTTAAAAAAAAATAAATAAATAATAAGGCCTTGAAGTCACTGAAGGGGGAGCAGGGGTGTCCTAGCGTTTTTGAATGGGGGCCAGATTAGCTGATGTGAAAAAAAAAACAACAACCTGAAACCAGCTGCTTCTTGCATCTCATGGGTTGGTAATAACATCCCATATATGAGACATGCAACTGTTTCATCTTACTGTAAAAAAATAATCAACTTCCACTGCTCCTGAAAGCTGCAGCCCTCCCTGTCGACTCTACGCTTCTTCAGTGTGGCCATGTCTGCTACCTAGCAGGAAATGCTTGATGGGTAATTGTTTGTTTGCTTGTTTACCCTCTGTTTATGAAAACGCATTAGTTCCACATACGTAGTTTGTATTCAGTGCATGTCTACAAACTTCATCATAGTGCTGCCATCCTGCGGGACCCCGGGCTGGACTTTGGACGTGCCTGACTTAAGGCTTATAGCAGAAAAACATGAAACTGATGCAACTCAAGCTTGAAGTCACATATTTCTGATTGATCACCTCACCAAAAAAAGAAAAGAAAAGAACCTTAAACTATTGTCACAATCCAGGTAACCTTTATGATGCTCAAAAACACTGCACTTACTTTCACTCTTCAACAAGAAAAGAGACGTCATACCTGCCGTAATTGCCTCATCTTTTGTCCATGGAAGGTTAGTTGTTGACAGCTCTGCCCAAAGTGATGGCACACATCTTGCCTGACACCTTGGCAGCAGGCAATAGACTGCCTGAAATCAATCGATGGGCAGTTGCACAGAAGTATCCCCTATCTCTTCTCCACAGACAGGAGTGTGGCTTATCCCTCTTCATCATCATCATCATCACCGCACTGAAACAAGATACACAAAGAGACGAGGTGATGAAATGGAATACGGCAAGAAGACAGATTAGTAATTGAGTGACTAAATGTAAAAATTTAAAGTCCCTTATCCATTCATTATTAATGTATTCATACTGCAAATACTGGGGAATGGGGTTGAATTATTAATTGGCAAAAACCACAGCAGACATCCCTCCTGTGATGAGTCAGGAGACTTTTAGTGCTGTATAATGCAGAAGTACCTGCAGTCCGTCCACATGTTCATCAAGCTGCATTATAAATCCACTAAAATCAAAGAGGGTTAAAAACATTTTAAATCAGTGGTGAAATCTTAATGTGGAAGGAATGTCAAAAATAAAGTGAATATTACGCCTTACACAAGAAGACCCCAGAACCAGAGCAAGGTTACTTAGTATTAGGAAACCCATTAGGTGGTACATTAACTTACCTTTTAGGAGAAAGAGATCAAAACTCCAGCAGCACTTGTACTATATAAAATAACTCGTTGGTCTTGAAATACAGTTGTTCTATGTACTACAAGTGTTGCTATTGTTTTGACATGCAAAAAGAACACGACAATTTTGATTCAAGCTCCCATCAATGTAATTGAATGAAAAATGTGAATGTCTTAAAATACCTCAAATTAAATGCAACATTTTAGAGTAAGAACAGGAGGAAGATCTGAGTGAACAGCGATCGCAATTATGTC